TTGGGAAATTCACTGCTGGTACATGGCGTACGCGCTTCCGAAAAGTGTCTCTAGATGGACTCCATTTGTTGGTGAGACTATTGCGACTGGTAAACGCACAACATCCCAGGAGACGACAGCTGATCAGGGACCTAGCAGCAGCACTCTATCAAGCGCATCCTGAGGATCTTGCGCGTGCCTTTGAGGTAAAAAAAGTTGCAGGATTGGATTGCATTCTCACCAAGTCAGAGAGGTCTCGCTTTGTCCGCACCATCATTGTGGGGGGCGAGGAAACTGCTGAGAGGATCAAGCGCGTTGTGCTGATTCAGCACTGCTGAAGCATGAGAGAAATGATGAGGCGGCACTAGAAGGTTTGAAGCGCGCTGGTGATCCCGTCGAAAGGCTCAATCCCGCAGATATAGGAATTCTATATCCGAATAATATATACGCGCGCTCGACCCTGCAGCCACGGGCTTAGTAGGCATGCGCTGACGCGCAGGCACTGCCGACCCGCCAAGCCCCCCTCAGTGAGGGGTCCTCACCCAAGGCCACACCTTGATGATTCAACCAATGTGTATCATCCCAGTCACTAACAACCTGTCAGTGACAATCTGTAACCATTGCTCCACATGAAAATCCCTGGGAGGCGCATAGGGATCACTCACGCTTCTCACCTCAGCAGATGGTCGCATCCGGAGAATTAGCGCTTTGGTTGCGTATCCAAACATGCCACCGCAAGATGAAGAAACGCAGCCAGAGCATCAAAATTATGGAATACTCCTGTACACATTTTCCGAGCAAATATCAGTGATATTATATCACCCCTTACAACTTTATGGACCAACTTGTCCGCTTGGCCCACACCAATGGGACCAAAATCAGCATGATCAAGCTCATTACTCCACACCAGAAAGAAAGTTTCTCCAAACCGCACGCGGAACTCGAAGCAGCAGATTCAGTCAGGGTACTTGTGATGTTCAAGAAAGGCAGCTTTCTGTTTACAGGCATGGGAGGGAAAATTCTTGCAAAGGATTCATCGACAGCATCATTCCGAGTGCAATTCCTTGCGCTTCTCCTCGCGTCTATGTCGATCTCGTAATTGCTCCTTCGTTCGATGCGGTGCAAACCTACGATAAAGTCGACCACTCCACACAATATCATAGGCGAATGCTCAAATTCACGAGAAGGTTCCCAAGGTCCTACTTCAACTCAGGATCCGCGAGCATCAACTGCCACCGTTTCCGATATCCTGCATACTTTTTCATCCCTCGCTCCAAAGATTCTTGTTCCTCCTCCTGAACACCATATTTAGACTCGTTCTCTGATGATTTGGGGCATTATCTTCCTGCCTACCGTCCATTTGATCTGATGTTGAGGTGTTGGCATCCAGTCAGGCATATTTCTGAGCTCTCCCGGTGTAGCGTCTGCCTCCCGCGATGCTGTCTGAAGACGACGTCTCGATAAATCAATCGTAAATGAGCCTACCCCGCGCTCATCACAAGGCCCGTGATCTCGACCAGGAGCGCCTAGAGAAATCAGATATCGAACTCAGCAAGGCCAACGAGAGACAGCGGATCGTTATGTATGAAATGACCGATCCGAGCGAGCATAACCACAGCATGAGGCTCATACTGATGAGGATGCAAGATCTCAAATCCGCATTAAGACTTGTATGATGCATGTCGCATAGTCCAGGGCCAACCTCCCTTCACTCACTCACCTAGAGCAGCTGTCTCTGGTTCTCTGAATCGAGCAGCTTCATGGTTAGATTCTCTCGGAGCGGGAGAAGTAAGTCTGCTGTGGTGTCTCTGATCATCACTATCGTCTGTCTCTTCCGTGCCCTCTCCTTCCCCCGCTGCTTCCTCCTCATCATCATCATCACTATCAAAGGAAGCAGACACCTTGCGACCAGTACTGGGCCCATGCAGCAAGGGGTGCCTTCGATGGATACTACAAAAACAGGAGTATGACACAACACATCTCGCAATCGCAGGACTGGCCGCTACTCTCGATATGCGTCAGACGCCTGGCTAGTTTCTTGCCCCTGTTCTGCTCGTGCCACCGCTCGTTTCCTTCTCCTCTTAGCTTGTTCCTTCTCTCTGTGGGTCAGCGTGACAAAATGCAAGCGAAGGATCTACTCACCTCATGCCGGTATTCACAAGAGCAAGGTCATATAGAAGATCCTCCACTATTTGTGTTCGCTGCCGCCGATCTCCACCAGTATCATATCGATCGTGCATGACGGTGAAGCCTTGAGAAATCTGCAGGGACTCTGTCAGTCTTGCAAGCAAGCGATCAAGCACCCTCCAAGTTTACCGAAGCGACAAGGCTCATTAGACTGACTGTGTAATTCGATTAATAGCACATCACAGTGGAACGAGACCATCACAGATAGGAAAACAGTCTCGAACAGAAGAGGCAGCGAACGAAAATGTGGTACTTTTCGAGCCGCGTTCACAAACTTTGTGACACAAAGAACTTACATATTCGAACACCCGATTTTGCCGAGATGACCAACAACCATCCTTCAAGTGATCGGCGAAGGTTTTGTAGATCTCGAGTAAGAATGAATGGGGGTTGTCCACGTATAGGGTGGCCACAAGTATGAGAGAGTCCCAGGCCTGGTCCAGAGCTGTGGGGCTCTCGCTCATGTGATATGAAGTACAACAAGGCCTAGTAGCCAGCAGTACGTCCCCCATCAACCCATCACACAACAACTTGTACTGACTATGAAGCCAAATGTCTACATGAAACAGAGCGCCGAAAGCTGCGAGTGATATGGCACTATCACCTCGTGAACCAGCTGGTATACCTCGTTATCAGTTAGTGACATCCGTTGGGCGCGATGACCTTGCGGTGTACGAACTGGAAATATCCCGGGATAGCTGTATTTGTAGTCCATTCTATCATGGGGGGATGGAGACCAGCACGCCGATATGTGAGCGCCTGAATATTCCCCGTCGTTGAAGTAGATATCGAGCCCAATAGTAATGATCATTATACAATTTGGGTGTCAACGTGGGTGTAACTGCCGGAGATCTCAAGGCGTAGACCGGAAGAAGGCTTGGTCACCAGCCAGTCTCCGCGATGACAGTGCAGGACACACTTTCCAATATAACTCATACATCTAATCTTCGAAGTACAGTAGTCTTCTCGTAGGTTGTCACAGTTCTTGAGGCAGTTATCACGACCATCCTCGCTTAGTCGGCACCAATATCTGAGAGACAGAGAAACAGCATTCTCACGCTGTGTCTGACAATGCAGCTCAACAGCTTGTTAATATCTGCAAAATGGAGTCCATATTTGGACTCGAAAATTTCGTTAACAGGTGACCCGTTTACCTGTTACAGGTCAAAAACACGGCTCATGAATCAAGGTTTGAAACAGCGGATGCAAGTTTGACTCGTCTAGTCATATCATGGCATGCATGTGTTGGTTACCTTGGATCATGCTCATGGCAAGAACGCCCGTTGAAATGCTATCAGCAGTCGATAGTGTGGGATCACAGCCAGTGGCCCTTTACGGAGTCCATCGCAAGAGTAGGCAGCGCCCCCCTCCGAGCTTATAGATCACCTCAAGAGATACTTCAAGAGATGAAACCATCCGTCTTGTTCGGCAGACGAGCCCAAAGCTTCACGGTTAAGTAAACCGTGAACTCGAAGCCATACGGAAGTTTCTATGATGCGGAAAGCTCCTGCTATTGTCAGTTCGCGAAATAATTTGACGATGTACACATCTGACCCATTCCACCGACCGTTCACCCTGAGGTCCGGCTCCTATTGCACAGTGTACGGCAAGGTTTCGATATAGCGTGGATCCAGGGTATTGAAATGTTGATTGCAGTCACCGCATCGAATGTCCGCGCCATGGAGGCCGTAGGGTCACTAAAGTCGTGACAAAGCCGAGTGCAACTCGGATACTTATTAAAAATTTGATCAAGTATCCGAGTTGGACTCGAGTTTTGACCGCCAAAACGCTGCAGCTATAATGCATGTAGTACTGTAAAGGAACTATATCCCCATAGCTCGGTGCATGTCATGTGTGTCTTCATTTCATAGCTCCAAATACAAATACGAACAGGTGCCCGAAGTGCTGCGAGATTTGGTGCAAATGTCATCCGACCGATCCAGAGCGATGTCTCTAAATTGGCCCACTTGTGGATGGTCCAGGTAACTCTTGTAGAGCATATCGAACAGGAACTCCGCTTCGCGACGAATACTTTCCACCATCCGATCGCTCGATATGACCATCTGTGCTCCGCGCTGTCCGAATTTCATTGTCCAATGATCCTCAGAACTGATAGACTTACTGTGTACGACACAGTGCGTCGTAGTCTCCTGTAATTATAATGACTGTAATGACTCACCACAGTCCTTGTGATTGCAGCACTATCTCTCATAACCAACGAGTCATTAATGATGACTGATGTTCTTTGCCGTCCATGAGAAACTTCATCATCAAGCTGATGACATCAACCGGACTACAAGAAAATGCACTTCGAAGAGCCTGATCACGGCTCCGATGGGGGATGATTGGAGAAACATTTTCGGGCAACAAATGAAAGCAAATTGGAACTTGAAAGAGAGCATGATCTTTACTCAAGGCAACAGTGTTTGGCGAACCACATACGCGATTAAAACTAGGTAGAATCAGTGCGGATCAATATCAAAAGAACTACTACAATGGATGTCACGGATTAAGTCACATGAATGCCACACGGTGTGGCCCTCATCGTCCTGACGGTGCGGAACGGTTTCATCATGAAAATTACATGGTATGAAACTCATGAGAAGTTCGTATCATTGGGCGATACCATTGACGCCACCCCACCTTTGGGCATCGTCCAATGGGCGGCAATGACGAAATTGTTCCACGAGACTGGGGTGAGCAACTCGGGACTGGGAATGCGAATCATCGAACTCAAACGTGAGAGACGGTGAATAGAAACATCATGCAGCATTGATCATCTTTGAAACATCGATTATCAAAGCCACCATTCAACTGCTTTTGGGTGTACCTGTCGTGGCTTTCAGAGAGTATAGGTGTGCGATGGGATGGCCTACAAGCTAGAACATGACGCCAACTCTTGCAATGTTCTTCCAATCGCTGGGGATCAGCGAACTTTTTACGGCAGTAGCTGCAATAGAGCCAACCTGAGGGCTCCTCAGGATAGTTGTCTCCATCCGTAATAACTATTCCATTCCGCTCCATATCATCCCTAGTAAGACGTTGCACATTGGGAACCTCAACGAAGCTGAAAATCATCCATGACTGGAAGAGTATTAGACGAGAGTCTCAACTGAGATTTGCTGGAGGCTTCCGTCCCAAGCCGGCGTGGCGGCAGTGTTAGACCTCGCTGCTCACAGAACGCATACATTCCAATCCTCTGAGTATGGAAGTCATCTCGTAGATGGTCACGGATCTCGACGAAGCCTTTGAGACCGCGCTCGCATAGTTGGCACCAGTACCTGAAAGTTCCAATTACGAGATATCGAGACTGTATCAAGTAAGGTCCAGCAAGAACACCGCCGATCTCGACGAAGTCACTTCTACCAAATCAAGAGACCACTTGGAGTTACCTTACTTTTGTGCAATCATCTCGCCGTTGCAGGGTCTCAACTTGAGAGAAATTTGATGGCTTTTAATCAGATCCAGTCGCCTAAGAAACTCCGATCCTCATAGAATCCAGGGATGCCAAAACCCACTTGTTGAATTCGGCGCACATATCCAGCTGCTCTCGATAATAAGCCTTCCTCCACTTATGATGTTCGCGTGTGAGATGGGCCACAGAGAATCTCTTCAAATCTATCGGTGGACACTGCTTATTCTGGTCACAATATACACAGTAGAGGCAAGAAGAGGATATCTCAACTAAGAGGAAATGGCCGAAGGCAATCAGGAACCCAGCGGGCATTTACACAATCCTACTCAGTCCGCTCTCATAGTGATCCATTGGCGTGTCGAGAAAGTCAATTCGAGCAGTCTGCACAGGAGCTAGGAAGGCTTCAGCACCATCATCAAAGAACATATGAACGAACGGTGAAGTTGCCAAAACATACTTGATCTTGCTCTCCTTCCTCATACTCAGATCCTCAAAACGCCTTAAGGATACATCGCTCCAACTAATGACCACAGCAGCCTACCTTCGCCGCTCTTCCGTCGACAAAGCCGAACTCACCAGACCCTGACTTGAGGAAGGCGGCTTAGCAAGCTCGTATATCCTCCCATCAGCCGCGCTGGGCCATGCCAATCCCTCCCTCGGTCGAATATCTTCTCGCTGCTGTTCTACCCGCCGTCGGGGACCGTCCCACCTTCTTGGACCTCGACTCTTACTGCGGCTTCTCCTCCGATCATTCTGCCAATTCCCACTGTGTCTATTGTTCACATCAGCCCAATTCCCCAGCATCCCTTCTCCATCACACCACTGAGCTCTCTCTTGAGAAAGAAGCCTCCCTTTCCCCATGCGTAGCTCTACAGTTCTATCAGTCGGGGGCCGCCAGTTATTGACTTGTCCCCATGTCTCACAGCTGCTCGAGCTGGTAACTGCAGTCATCTTCATTGGATTCCTCAATGCCTTGAGCTCCTGCTGCCCTGAGGGCACGTATATGTAGTCGAATATTCTACGCTCATCGGACTTACCCCTTTCTCTCATCGGCGAGCCTGCAGAAGGTCCTGATGGTGTTATAACATGAGCGGAAGAGCTCGAGAAACTAACATGACCATATTTGAATTCAGCCGACCGCAGGGACCACAGGAGAATTCAGAGATGATCATCACATACGATCATTCAAAAATGTCCGAGCTCGCCTACTCGTTGACCTCTGGCCGATCCTCTGGCCGTTCCTCTTCCGATGCAATTGCTGTGCCTGGTGCTGACATTAACAAGATATTACGGAGCGTACAAGTAACATCAAAGGGCTTACTTCCGGAGCGTGGCTGTAGGTTGGTCGTTGTAGTAGGGCCTTCATGAATACTACTATGTGACTCCGACCTCCCCTCCTCCTCAGGAGGCAACAGATCAGTCGGGATGCAGTACATTAACTACGAACTAATCTAATCAACAGGCACTGAACCAGATGAAGGCCCAACTCGACTCCAATGACCATGAAAAACTAATAAGCATTGAGCGTATACATGCACTGAAAATCAACCCGCTATACCCAGCCATAGGCCTATTCCCATCGAGACGAATCCTCCTATGCAGAGACCTGATGAAAAACGAAAAGAATACCCCTATCTCAGATCACAACCTTATTAAGCAGCGGTAATCAGTCCACATGAATCACACCCGATGACGCAGCCATGATACCCTCTGGCTCGACCAAGTTATAAGGACATCTCATACAATTGGGGAAAATTCGCAACGTAACAGAGTATCTCAAGCTACAAGTGTAGCGCCGTTAAAAGCGAGTTTTCCTATCAATTGCAGCTCCGATAGAGATGAGAATGCGACGAGTCCAAGATGACCTTGCCTGAATTAAGAGCAACCGCAGAGAAGCGGCCAGCAGCCTTCAGCTCGTCAGCTGTGAGCCCCGGTATCTCATTCACAGTGATGAGAGTGAGGCTCACTGAATAACCGTTGGCCAGTCCGAATATAAAAATGACAGGGAGCGAGATCCAGTCGCTTGAGATGACCTCGGTTGCACAAGAAAAGAGGAAAGGAACAAGAAGGGCACCTGAGAAAAAGGAGAGGGGCCGACGATGACAACATCCAACTCGCGGAACAGCAGAATGTTCGAGTAGAGTTCAATACTCAGGATGGGTAATATTTATCCGCCGTTACCAGCATTATAAGCCGAACAGATTTCCTTCGATCGAGGGTAATATCGGAGTAACTTACGGAATATGAGGGTTAGCCATACATTGGAGTGATCAAGTGGCCCTCGAAAACGAACCGAGAATCTCCCGATGACATCTGCAGTGGTAAAGACCGTAAGTAGGATGGTCTGGAACCAATGGTCTTTGTCGAGAGAGGTAAAGGTAACGCACGGGATGGCCGTGATGACCTGACGCAAGGACCCTAGCAAGAGGCGTGCCTCGGCAAGTCGCAGCATCTCCTAGTCGAACTAGAGTTTTTCGCAAGAAATCACCCCGCTAGTTACTCATCGTCAAAATGCCAACTCATGGACTCACCGAAGGATAGCAAGTAAGAGTGATCATCAACTGGGAGAAGATAATGGCCTCGTGGAACCATACTTTCCCGATGACATCTGCTATATGGAGAGAACGGTGGGGATTACCATTCGACGGTGGACCTGAGACTACATAGAAGGGCCTCTGTTGAGACTAAGTAACAGGCTCACTCAGCAGACTCCGAGTCATGTCTCCATCAGTACTGTCCTCATTGTCATCTTCCCCAGGTATAATAACGTTATGCAGATGAGCTGATATCGGCATACTCATCAGGGAGTAGAAGCAAACAGCACATATGATGATCTGAATGAGACTCCCTTAGCCGCACACCCACTCTACTGAGGCATCCCCTACCGTGACCAGAGCCGCGCTGAAGTATAGAGTAGTGGCGTCAACTACAGATGCTGCCATCACTTTAGTGATATCCCGGTACATAACAGATACGAAGGCTGATAAACCTGTGGTGGAGAGAACACCTCTTTTACAGCAATTGTTGAAGAACTTTCAAACACCGGCGGAAAAAAATCGACATCACCTATGCCGATCTGCATGGCTTCCTGCATTCTGGGCGAGTACTGCGAGTTCAAAGCCAACAGGCTCGAATCAGCAAATGCTGTCACCACCGACAAGAAGAGCCTGAGAGAAACAATTCCAGGGGCGAGTTCGAGAACAACCAGAGGTTGCTATATCGACACACGACCCTTCCCATGCGAGTGCAGTAATATCACAAGTCGTTTGTCGACTATCCCAAGGTGTTGACTGCCGGAAAATTTAAGAGGAGCAACCATTAGAGTGTACCACATCGAGCTCTAGATGTCGAATATCAGATGTCCAAGAGCATAGCTGCTATCATACCACACTTATATAAACCTCCCTCAGATATGACCGGTATAGTCTGTTAGTACACTAGAGTCATGAGGGATACATAACGAGTCGCTTCTCCCAGACTCATCCATCGTGATAATAGAATGACCAGTAAGCCAAAGAACTGCCCAGCGAAGGCTCCGTAAATACGTTGCTTGAACTGAGCACAACGCCAAGAAGAGATATCCGTACATCATTGCGTTAATCAACTTTCATGTCACATCTCGCACGCTGGTTCCCTCGCCATATATCATGGAATGTGGGTATTCGAAAACATCGCGTTTGAAACAGAAATACCAGTATACGCTGCTCCACAAGAGATCTAGTAGTAGACTACATATTCATGAGTTCTACTATCACAACAGCAGGGAGCATTACCTTGAAACTCCTCCCGAGGGAAAGGGCAGCTACCGTTAGTATAGTCCCAGCCTGATATATACAGGTGATGGGGAATTCGACGTTCGTATTTGGGAAGAGACTTCGCCAATAGTCGAATGCTGCCCATATAGCTGAGACACAACAATGGAGTTTCACCCGTTCAACGCGACTTCATGTAAATTGTAGACGTTTTGTCTTCGCGACCGATAACGCAGTTGTTCACCTCGGAATTGATTGTTAAATATGATTTTCACTAGTGTTCTTCATATCACGGATGAAACTCCAATGATGAATACTTGGGTTAAAAATCATTATCACATTCACCGTGCACACTAATTTATGTGCTTACGACTCCGCCATCAAGACGTAGAAATGAAATTACGTCCGAAGTCAATCGAGAGTGAACGATGCTGCTGCCCATGTGAGGCACACATCGGCAGTCAACCCGCTGAGCTATCCGTAAAATATTCCCATAATATTTGCGTCGATGGCGTTCTCCCAGACGCTACTACTACTACTACCTGATATCGGGAATAGATATCCCAAACCTATAATAACCATCCTCACATAGGCTCCTGTAGTAACTGTGACGAAATGGCCAGCTTGAAGTGGTACACCCATAGAGGAACACAGTCCACACTGTCGGGCCCAGATGCTTCTGCCTATCATGATATTCTCTCAGTTTTCATCCCAGGAAAACTCTACAGTGCGTGCCAATTCGATATGCAAGTGTGTGCTAATTTCCGAGATTAAAGTGAATCACTGTGAAACTATATCACATATACAATGTAACAATGGCTATGACCATGTGTTGTGACCTAAGTACCCGCTAGAACTGTGATAGCGACAACTTGTTCACTATAATTCGTCCTTCGAAGTAACACACATGAGCATATCAAACTGACACGTACTGTATTGAACGTGAGCTGCGCGATCGCTTGCTACATCGAGTCCGATGCCAGCAGAGCGGATTCGCGACATTCAAACCAGCGATTGACGGTCGTCAATATCATCATCGTATCACCATCCCTCGCAAGTGCATTTACTATCCCTTACCAGTGCACTACGACTGGGCCACCATCCAAGGTAGACTACAGAGGTTATCAATCCGGCACACCCAACTATTGCTATATCATAACGAAGGCTGTAGGGGACGCCCAGAGCTCCCATAATCCCATCTAGCAATCTCAGAGTTAATTGAACGTGTGAACACAACAAGACTATCACCAACACATTTACATCATGGCCACTCGAATATTGAGCCAGGAACGACTTTACCCTTGAACTCAGGTCGCTCGCTGAGCCATATATCACTAGCACGGCGTTCGGATGCCTTGCGATACTTTCCGTATTTATCGATGCCTGGAGGTATCTTAGGAGAGTAGAAGTATAAACACAAGTCATCGGTGAAGCCAAGACGACATTCCTCGATAGTCAACACTGCTACTACATAAACAGTTTGACGCCAACAGCAGGCAAGCTGATTTCATAATTCATATTAGTGATTGTAGGAAATACAATAGCATATTAGAAATTCAAAAAACTAGCTTCCTCACGAGTTTCATCTCGAGTCAACGTCTATGCCCTGCCTAGTAATGGCAACCCTCCCACCCGGATGGATAAACTCCAATCCCGGAATATCTACATGTACTACTCTTGCTATCCGCGAAATCATCAACTGGTTTTCAGAGGTACCCAACGTATCGCTTCCCAAAAATTCCACCCTGAGAACACTTACCGTAACTGTAGGAGCCCCAGGAATTCGAGGCCAATCGAGAGTCTCTGAAGGTTCAATAGGAAGGGCTGGGCTCTGAAGCAAAGACCAGCTCATACCATTCCGCGGAAACTAAACGATGAAATCTGCGATGAATGAGTGCTCTCATGATACGATGATATTACATGTACGAATGTTGTGTAAAAATGCACACAGCGGAGGAAAGTAAATTAAATTTTTAATTGAATTAGAACATATAATATCATCCGTGCTTCACTCCCTCATCCACACTATAACCGGTCCACAAGGATAGAGGAAAAAATTATCACAGCACAATCAGGTCATTGTACCTCAAAGGTCTATTATAGCTCCCATGCCGCCTTACCTCCAACACTTCAATATCGTCAACCGTCCTCTCCTTCTCAAGTAACGCCTTGAGCCTTCTACTAGCTCCAGATTGCCGTCTGGTCAACCCGAACGTATCGAGAGGCTTCTCCCCGACCAATTGCTTCCACACCGGGTCAACCTCTCTGAACGTCGACCGTACAACTCTGAACCTCCGATGAGAATCAAAGTTGGCTGTTTTGTGAAGCTCGGGCGTTGGTATTGCTATTCTCCTCGCGTCCCGAGTCGACCTATGATGCACTCGTCTGACGATATCTTCCAGTTTCTTCCCAGTGCGGTTTAGCTTGAACCACATATCCTTCAACCTGAATAACAAGTCGCCTCTGCTATCAGCTCCACGGTGCATTCCACTGCTTGCCGAATACGGCGATAAAGGCATTTCCCCGTACTACACATGGGCTGTACTGTGCTCCCGCATGCTCCTATGGTGCAGAGGCAAAACAAAGATGAGAAAAAAGGCTCAAAACTGATAACTCATATAGGAACGAGGTGGACCGACCGGAATCCGCCGAAATTTGCGCTGTTCCATCGAACTCACGAATGCGCTCGCCCGCCGCAGGGGGGAACCTGTTCCTTGTAGTCTCCCTTGAAGTTTGATAGTGGGGACTCACCCCTCTCTCTATCAGAGATAATGCTCGCATAGTTATTATCATATTCAACAAGTCATTGTTGTAATGACCGTACCAACTAGCACCCGAAGGTGCGGGGAGATGACTGTGGAACAGGTCGCCGAGATCTGCCAGGCTCGAGAGCTATTCAAAAGCCCCCACTTGAACGCTAAACTGCTGCTGCATGGACAGGGCTTCACCAAGATGTGCGACCTCAGCCAGTACTTCAATGTTAAATTCCTCAGCCTCGACTTCAACATGATCAGCGTTATTGAAGGCCTGGAGTATCTCTCGCAGCTTACAGCTCTCCATCTACAGGGCAATCAACTCACGATGATATCAGGACTTGAGCGTAACGTCCATCTGAGGGTACTCAACCTCAGTGACAACCACATCAAGGAGATCGGCGATGGGCTGAAGAATCTTGTGAATTTGTCGAACCTCAACTTGTCCAAGAATGAACTCAGTGATTTCCACCAGGCCGTTGATGACTTGTCGCACTGTCCACTGACCACACTAGATCTTGGCAGCAACAACTTGAGTGAATTCGACTGTCTCGATGAGTTCTCAGAGAAACTGAATGGCCTGAGGTGCTTGTACTTACATAGGAACCCGGGAGTTAGAGCAGTTAAGCATCTCCGCAAAAGGCTCATTTCGATGCTACCACATCTCAACTACCTGGATGATAGGTGATCATTGAATCCCTCCAGCGTTAGAATCGTTGGTGTTATCAGGCCTGTATCAGCTCTCGAGCGTCTGGGGGGAAATATCGACCGGAGGCAGTTTATTAAGGAAAGCGAGATGAGGGATGCCGAATGGGAGGATCGACAAAAAGAAATCACCAAGTAGTGTTGAGCCGCCATGTCTACCGTAGAGAGGTGTTCTGTAGACGTCGTGAAATGGCATTAGAACGAATCGCGAGGGAGGATTTGGCTAGAGGCCTCAACCAGCCAGTGAGCAGGTTAGGGCACACAGAAAGTTCGGATAGAGTTGCACGGGAGGACAGAGGTAGGGTAACGTGAAAGTGTGAGATGCTGATAGTAATGAATCAGTGCGAGTGATGGCCGAGACGGGACCACAGCGAACGATACATGTGCCGTCGAATGGAAGGCCGGCGACAGAGGTATGCAGAGATTGGGGTTATTGGTGGTCAGTGAGGGCTTTACTCATTGCTAGGTGTAGTAAAGAAAACTGTATTACACACTACATTAGGTAGTATTCGAAGCGTTTATATTCGACGTTAAGTGATAGATCAGCGTACTGAAAAACTGAGTGCAGTACATGTTTGGTGTATTATTACTTTAGTGTACGAGTATGGTATTTACTACGACAGCCTTATATGCATTGTTAGTGTCCCTGATACCGGTGTGACAGGATTGTTCTCTAGCCTGCTGACTCTGCAAGGTACTATGGAACGATGAACAGTTATGGCAATCGGTAGAGGTTGATCGAGAGGCCCTCATGCGGGATGCCAATCTACAACAGGCCTCTGGGACAGTAGGGAACTGGGAAGGTATGTACATGTACATTCAAATTCTCAGAGGAACCCTCTTGTCCTCAACGACCCTCCATCTCCGACCTCTCGAACTACTACTGCCCCTCGGGGTAGCGATCTGGGAGACATGGACTGACCATGAACAAACGTTGTCGAGAATTGCCCAATATGCTATCAGTGTTGCGTAGCAGGGCGACATAGCTGATTCATCTAGTTTTTTTTGAATTCCAAGTATGGTCGTGAAGATATTAGGTCGGGGGACTAGCAGCATTGCCTGGTGGACAGTTGTGTATGCCGCTGTTGCTTGCTTGCTTGGCTTGGTTAATAAAGCACTGGTGGAGTGGTATCACTTTAGAGCATTCAACATCCTCACTGTGGTGACACGTGTATTGGCGCTCCCTTTGATATGGGGTATGGCTAGTGGGAAGATGAGTATGATGGAAGAGGTAGTAGTGGTAAAGAATAGCAGCACGGCGTATTCGTCTCGAAATCATCGGACTAGTTGATAGAGCGAGTAACCCTTTCCTCATAGTAAACCGCGTTATAATGAGTGTCTCTCACAGAGAGTAAAGCACCCACATGAGAACACTCAAACAGAAATTCAAAATTTTCGCGATATTGCTAATAGCTCTGGCAGTCAAGCTACAGTTGAGATGTTTCAACACTATAACATCCAAGCTTGACGAATTTCCATCGCGATTTCGTCCGTCTTCTTCAAAGACCGATTCGGATATTTTTTGAGGGTGTGAGGCCGTCCCTGAGAACATCTCCATGCGAGAGGGTGTTCGTTCATGACGTTCTTATATAAGCCTTATTAACGTGATGTCATGTTGATCTCAGGTTGTGGCTGCCCTACGGCGCCCGTCTTGGCTCCTCCTCGCCCCTATAGTTTGTCGCTCTCTAGAGACGGTGGTATCGTTCATGGCAGTTCAGTGGACTAACGTTCCGATGTACCTTGTTTTACGCCGAGCTAATACGCTTTTCGCGTTGGTTGGCGAGGCACTCATTTTGCACAAGTCGATTCGCCTTGCCTCGGTAGAAGCGGTAGTAGTCATTCTGGTCGGTACTGCCCTGGCTGGCTATGGCGACTTGACTTATGATTTTTTCGGATATGTTGCAGCTTTTTCTCAAAACTTTTTCACAACGGCGTCAAACGTTTGTACGTATCGTCTCACGCATGAATCGGCGCAGACTTGCCAGGTTGAGGTTGCGCTTTTCATTCACACACTGTTCTCCATCCCGTTGCTGTTGGGACTGGCTATGTGGACAGGAGAGCTTACTGCATCTTCGATCCCTCTTGACGGAACCGCCCCGGTATTGATGTTCACTATCTTGGTATACGTATTGCTAGTAGCGCTACATCAAATTTCTAATACGATGTCAATTGTGAATGGTGGTCCGGTGAGCACTAGTGTTGCTGGAAATTGCAAGGACATTGTGCAAACCATAGCAGGTGAGTGATGATGATGATGTAGAAAGGCATATCAGGAAGGATCTGGTTACGTTGTTAGGTGGACTGTTATTTGATGACTACATCTACGATCATTGTAACGTCGCGGGTATCTGCCTCAGCTTTGTTGGCTGTGCACTTTATATAAAATCGAAAATAATCACTAACGGGGCTCAAGCGCCGCGGAAAGAAGTGAATGGGATAAGGACAAGCTCGGATATTCTTGAGAAGAATATTAAACTAGCTTGAAACGTTTATTGTACATTATCAATGGTGTTGTTCGTGTTGTTGTTGATTGTGTGAAAATCGATCGATTGGGCGCGCGCGGATTTTTTGCTCGACACTGAATGGGCTATGGTGAAGTGACACTGTACGATAAGTCTAGATTTACCAGAGGTGCGGTACATGACATGGCCGTTTTAACTATATATCAGATTATTACATCCTATGTTGGCTAAATTGATGTTGAGTGATTAGAAAGAAGCTCCTGAGGTTGCTAAGTATCTGATGTATGCTTATCCTCCTATTATCATTAATGTTACTCGTAGTAATTCCTGTCAAGTTGCCCCCGACCTAGGTGATTTTGAAAACAAGTAGGGTCTATGCGACTCACAGCCCAGTAAGAATAGTTCCACCTTTCTCTCAACGTGTACGATAAAAGTGCCGTTACGGTCTGCTCATTCTGTGTTGGTTCCGATCACGTTATAGTGAGCTTATGATGTGGAGGAGGTAGCCAGAGACTCTTCAATGAGGTTTGTCGTCGAGTCGCTGGGCCTCTCTTCTCAGAGTTAACTCGAAAATCAGTTTGCCGTCATTCCACAGTCCCTTGAGATGGACGAGATGAGCGAGAAGGAGATGTCTGCTGTTTTTGAGGTGTTGGATGGGCCTTGGCAGAGGTAGCCGGTGCTGTGCTTGATCAGTGGCTTGAAGGGCATGCTTAGCGCTGCCCTGGTCAACGACCCAAGTGTTGTTGCTGTTATTGGTATGTACCAGCAGGTCTTACTCGATGCAGACTTGACGGACGAAATAAGCATGGTGTCCAAGCAGAAAGTGATTCCTGTTGGAATAGAGGCTCTCGGGGAGTTATGAGGACCTCGAGCGTTGTTAGAGACACTAGAAGGGGTCATTGCTCAGCGTCGTTTGTAACAATACTAGAGTATAGATGGGCAGCGTAACGTTTTTAAGGGTTTACGCCTCGATGTGCGTAACGTAAGTAGTTTACGGTTGCGGAAAGAGTTCACGACTTTACGGTTGGTGCTGGACTGTCTTTTTGGAATTGTGGCAGAAACATTCGCTGTAATGCACTCCACCATAGCTCAAGTAGTTGTTAAACTCATTTCTGGTGGCTCGGATCCAACCGAACGGCTGAGGGAGTAACATTTAGTTTCCCATTTACCACTCGTCTTCCTTTTAAATTCCGTCCAGCTTACTCTCAGACTGGCCCGAAACTCCTTAGCCGGCCTCGTCTTCTACGCACGCGCATTCACATGGAATAGACTTAGGCGACTCGAATGGTCAATCCTCGTTTTGCTCATTGCATCTCCGTAAGGCCCGTTACGATGCCGGAATTTTACGGTACGGGGCTTGAAGCGTAACCGTAAAAGTGAGCAGCCGTAATTCTGCCCATCTATACTCTAGGGAAGTTGAAGTGAGTTGGAAGGGTTATTGAGTGGTTGGGCGGATGGACATCGGGAGATAATCGATTACATACGTCTACGACAACCCGTGGGGTCTGCATAGATACAATGCATAAAGGCAGGGATACTTTCAAATCGGAATCATGCGTAGTTCTTAGGTTAATGCGTTTGAAGTTAATATCTTCATGTTGAGTTAATTACTTGATGGAGGGCTATAAAGGGAAATGACTTGTCTTCAAGGGTTTACGGTATCGGAATAGTTGCATTAACGGGGTATTCACAGAAAAACATGAACGAGTATAGAAGACATGATAGAGATTGTTTTGTCAGTTGTGGTAATGGAAGATTCACCGCCGCCGGCAGCGAAGGATGAGAAGCCGAGGGCGCAGATAAGCGAAGTTGTTGACGAGGTGAAGTTGTGGGCAGTAGAGCTTGAGAAGCTCCGTCGTGGTACGGCTTGTGTTTTCCTCAACCAGTTTGAAGATGCCGAGAAGATCTTCCGTAGTGGTATCTTCGCAAATTCAGAGTATGATATGCTCCCTGTACCGGCGCAAGGACATGACCTACGCCCTGCGTACGCCTTTCAATGGGCCCTGGCTAGTTTGTTGGATGGCTTGGCTTCGTTCGCGAATGATCAACTCGATGACTGTCTTAGTAGAGTTTGGCTGACTGAAAAATTAGCAGGGGAAAGCCCGGACCAGTGGATTGGTCAGAGATTCCTCAGAGGTATGTGTTACATGTTTGGAGGAATAGTGCAAATTTTACAACAGTCTTTTGTGAAGGCTGGGGTTAATCTAACCCGTAGTTGGACTTTGATAAAATCCATGGAGAAGGAGGTGTTGAACTACGTGGGGTACGAGGCCGACGTGGTGAAGTCTTTGGGGAGTTTTGTAATTGGAACCCTCAACTTGGTCGTGACTATGCTGCCCGGATCAATAGTCGCGGTGGCTGAGCTCGTGGGCTTTGATGGCACTAATAGGGCTGCGTCTATCGGTCTCCTAGAGGAGTGTTACCAAGGAGGGGGTCTCTTGGCGCCGTATGCGGCTCTTGTTATATCGGCCTATCATTTGCAGATGAGGTCATTCATGGGAGAGTCGCCGTCGAATGAAGAATTGGATGAGGTGCGAGGCATCCTCGATGAGGGGCTTGGGAATTATCATAACAGTTGCGTATATTTGATCGAGTTGGCTGAATACCATGCTGTGAGAAGGAATCCTGAGGCCGCACTGAGGACCATGGATGTGGCAGGACGTTCTTGTGATAGGCCGGCACTGGCCCTTGTGGTTAACATGAAGAAAGCGGTTTACCATATGTTGTGTGTGGAGTGGGAGGAAGCTATTGGCTGCATTAGAAAGGCAAGTCTATGTCATGAGGAGGTTGGTAGGCGTACGTATGTGCCCTTCTTTGGAGCGTTAGAGGCTATTTTGAGGAAGCTCACTGGACAGGAATATCAGAGCTGTATCGAACGAGTTGAACGGTATCGCGCTATGAACAAGTCCAACTGGCGTGCCTCGGACCTTCTAGCCTTCAAGAAAATTGAGGAGTACTCTAAGAGGCCTGACAGAGTGATCCCCTCTATTGATGTGGTGGAGCTCATGATGCTGCAGTTCTACTGTTTGAATAAGGCTTCTATCGCAGTCATCAAAGGCCCTTTGACCACGCTCTTGAGCGAGACTAATACGACTTGCATTCAAGACGAGGCACGGCGCCTGGTATTGTTAGCAGAGTTGCATAGGCTGGCTGGAGAGCCGGATGAGGCGATAAGACTGGCAGGAAAGGTCATTGGGAAGGAGGATGAACTTATGCCTCCTCAGCCAGTTCCAGAGTCGGCCGATCTGATACTCTTGAGGCCCTACTGGAGTGGTACGTGCCTTGTAGCTCTGCTTGTGAAAGGGCAGGCTCTAGCTGACAAGGGTGAATGGGAGGCTGGTGATGAAGCTGTAGAGCAGATGAACGCGGTGGCCTGGCGCTTGCAACAAATCGATCCGACACCGAAGGCACGGAAGAGCTTTTTGGCGATGATGAGCAACACTATACAGAGCTATGCTGGGGCTAAGCCCAGTGGAGGGTACTTCGATATGACTTTGAAGTTCAAGAGGCACGCTCTAAGGAAACGACTGGAGGCACGTGTAAAGAACGAAGTGTGTGATGGTGAAGAAACCCTGGACAGCGGTTTTGTTAGCGCTGATGAGGAGCAGGAGGAGGAAGGCTGATTTAGTGACAAATCTGTGAGTGTTTTGTAGTAGTCGTTTGTATTATTATATTTTCTTGAAAGATCGTGTTGTAGTTACTCTTGTTAATTTACACAGTCTCGCAGTCATGGATCTTCAGAGCCATTCAACCTGCACTGGCTCGGTGTGAAGTGAACACTGCTATCCTTTTTCGTTCTGTTCTTGTGTTGAGGCATGTATTCGCAAGGAATAACAATGCGGCGGTTCTGATGTACAACAAGGTCGACTTGGAAACGTCTGATGATCTCTCGTGCTTTCAGCTGTGTGTAAGGTTATTTCCCCATCATTCGCTGATTCAATTTTCACTATGTTTTCAAGTCGAATTCAATGATATCGTTTTTTGCCATCTTGTTTCTTGTATTGTTCTCCGCTAGCCGGGAGAGACAAGGTTGAAAGCAGAGTTTTTCGGTCTTTGGCAGACGATTTTGCGAGTCGCATAGGAAGGGAGCCGTCTGGTGTGCGCTCTTCCCGTGTGGTTTTTTATTGTTATATGTATTGGATTTCGCGGCTCAAAACTGAACACGTTGATTGGAGAACAGAATGTACAATCGCATTAGTTTACTTGCAGATTTCCGCATGTCCCTCATCGGCATTTCCAGGGATGTCGCGGCCCTCCGAGAATTAACGATCCAGGAGTTCACTAAACTGAACAGAGAAGTGAAAGAGCTGAAGTCGAAGGTCACTACCTTGCAGAGGCAAATCCATAAGCAGTCAGCTCTCAAGCATGGTGGACTCATATCCTCCCCTGAGCCCGACGACAAGACGGTACTCTACACTCTGAGTACGCTGGCTCTCGATGAGGTCGTGGAGGATGCTGTCGCCAGCGATAGGACTGAGGACACTCTAGAGGCATTATCGATGGAGACTTCGCTGGAGGGCAGTACTGAAACGACCGAGCCGCACTGTGAGGGTGGGAAAGAGGCTGAGGGGAGCAAAGGGTTGGTCGTGGGCAGTCGGAGCTCATCGAAGTCGATTGATAGTCGGAGGGACTCTTTCATCAGCACAGTATCCCACGTTGTTGGAAATGTAGCAAGTAAGATTCTCGAGGTGTCGTCGTATGTGATGCTCTCTATCAGGAACCCCGAAGAAGTCCGCATCGGCGTCAGCTGCCGGCGCTCAGCCTACGTCCACTAAGAAGCGACGCCGGCTAGAGGTGCTGGTCTGTTGCGGCGATTGACGAGATTGCGGTGGTTTGTAGGTGGACACATCTTACTTGGTTGAAACGGACTTGACGGTGAAGCACGATGGGAGAATACTGTGTGATCTATACCGGGTGAGGATGCTGACGCTGGTGGTGGTGGTGGTCGAAGTCAACATTCATTTGTCTCTTACAGTTCTCCCTCTGGCCTAAAGGAATGCTCTCGAGTCAACTCCGACAGCAGTTAAAGAAGGTCCCCTGTATACGAGAACTACTGACAAAGGGCGATCTATCCATACAAGGGATCTCTAAAGAAGGTCATTCGATTGACCTCGACGAAGTCATCACTGCCAACGACGTGCGAGACTACACACGGCTCATCGTTAGCTTGTGAAAACGTCATATTGCATTTACTCAATGTAGAGGCTGCTGCTGCTGCTGTTGTCATCACTTCGGTGGTGGTGCAAGTAAGTTTGATTGAATACTCCTATATTGGGTCTACCATTGTAGGGGTATACCCCAAACATGCTATGCGGTGATCGTCTGACTTCTTTGCACAAAATTTCCGTAGATGATACCGTGATGGCTATTGTGTGGGTCAATGATTCGGGTGGGCCCGAGGTAATGTGTTTGCTAATCGGTACGGTGCAAGTGGCATGTTTTGAACCTGGGTCTATTGGATGGTGGCTTGGTGCATTATCAGCTACACCAACTTTACTACGGGCGACTGATTCGAGTAGTTCTTTGTGGCTTCTGTCTACCTATTGACCGCACAGGGGAACATCGTGGACTCTCATTCGCATGTAAGGGTGACTATGAAACGGTCTATCGAGAGTGCACCGTGCTGGCCGAGGGGAGCTCGGATGCCTCGACGATAGTCTCGAAGACTGCACCTCAAAAAGACGTTATTGCTATAGAAAATGTTGAAGGAGGTTGACTTTCCAATTCTTGTTGTGATAGAAGTGAGCTTCCTATCTCATCTTACCATTTCCCACCATAAATGGCTTGCTGGTCTCCTTCTAGAGCCAAACCTGAGGAGCAGCTCACTTTCCATGACAAAGTGTGTTGGCGCATCGCCTGTAGCCATCCGTACCGTATTCACTATAGATACTCAGAGATATACCTCTAACAAGTCGGGAGTGGACCTCTACCACGCACGAGATGACTGATATTGAAATTCGAGGCCCACCTCCAGTGATGCACGACCGCCAGAGGCGGTCATTAGCTCGGTACATTGTGACCAAGCCAGCATCAGAGTTGGGGGGACCTGTCCACTTCTCTAGTGGTAAGCGTCTGTGTCAATGGTTGTTGTACTAGAAGTAACGTGTTGGAGGTACGTACAACCCAATATCGTATGAGTTCCCGGAGCTGAAGCCAAGGGAAGTGGAGGAGACAACACAGCCGACTGTGGTGCGAAGGCGTGTAGACGAGCATTCTATACAAGCGTGCTTGCCTCCCAAGAGCAGCACTACGCAGACCGCTCGCTTTGAGCCGGTCAACGCTTGTAGAGTTTTGTGACTGCGATTGTAGTGACGACTTGACTGAACGTAGGTGTCCAATACGAGGCGCAAGTCGCTAGTGGCATGAGGCTGTCGAAGCACGCAAAAGCGTCCCTCAGGGAGTTCATATTGAAACCTGAGATCAACTTTGCCATAGAGCAAGCATTACAGCAAAACGAGACGATGGATGTATTTGCACGGGACTTTGATAAACTCGGTAGGTCCATGTCGATTGCTCCTGATCTGGCTGAGCTCCAGTGGTAGGTGTGGACGAGTCCCGCATGGCTATGCTGGATGCAAGTCTCGGCTCAGGAGCTGAAACTGGACTCACCGAGGTAGGGGCATCCTCCTCACTGCCGTTGACTACGTGGGCAGCAGCTGCCGGTTTGGTCAGTGGCGTAACTTCCATGATGTTACCTACACCAGAGAGAAGAGGATTGAGTGCATCCATTGGGTGCCAGAAGAGCCCGATGTTGTTGCTGCATCGTACTTGGACAACCTTACCTATGGCCAACGACTCGAGACCATGGGCAAGGTGAGCGGTGGGATAGGATGCTGCCTCCATTGGAGGAGCGCCAGAGGGTTTCCTTGGCGAGCTGATGTTAGTGTAGCGTGACTCAGTCACACGATACTACCCAGGGTGACTGGTTTGAGCTCATGTTCAACTAGTAAAAAATATGAATATATATAATTTCCCTCTACTGGTCATCTTATACCCATTTCATGTTGTGAAGTGACCGTCATTATGACGGTATAGGAGCTCTGGATTGTCGATGACTTTCTTCTTCCCAGCCTCGTCCATCCTGCATCCTGCTGTGGTCATTCCACAATCCTCTGTCACCCCACGCGGCACTGCTGAGCCCAAGCGAGGTCGTCACCTTCTCCTTCTGCCCGACGGACCGTCGTTTCGTGGTCGGTGGACTCATCACAGGCCAGGTAACCCCTGAGGGTCCCATATCACGGTCGAACCGAACTGTTGTAGATGGTGCTGTGGCGCGTGACGGACCAGGAGCTAGGCGTTACTGCTGCGAAACGGGGGAAGGTGGCTAGGAAGAAGAGAGAGAAAGAAGGCCACGACAAAGGGGACGTTGAGAAGTCAAAAGAGAAGGTCAAGACGGTGATGACGACTACAAAGAACAAGCCAGCACTGGAGATAAAGCACAAGTATAATATTCCTATATATTGCCCTTGCCCTGTCTGGAGGTGCCTTATGTTCAGGCTAGTCTCTACTATAGACGACTCGCACAAACGAGCCTGTCGGTCGATCGCGTGGTTGCCGCATTGGCTGGATGTGGAACGCAAGGGGAAATGCGTTGACAATAGGAGCACATTGGAAGGAGAGGGTGGGCCTGTTTGCCAACTACAGCTGCTTTCGGCTATGGTATGTTGTTCATGTTAGAGGAAACTGTCGAGAAGGCTAAGTTCTTCGTGACAGTCGCTGGTGACGGGCAGGTCTTCCTTTGGGACTTCCAGAGTGCTAGGGACGCCGTAGTGAGAGGTAAGCAGTCTCGCATGGGAGGGTGGTAGTCTGTGGGCTAGGCGAACATGACTTCACCTGGCGGCCTATACATAGTGTCCAGCTGCAACGACAGGACTCTGGCACGGAAATGGGGTGTACCCATATACTGCCTCTGGCCTCTATGAATCTCACCCAGAAGGCTCAAGAGGTGACCATAGGGAAGATTCTGAGGAAGAATTGATGTTCTTGTTAGAATCGAGAATCGAACTTCCTGAGTAACTTCTTCGCCACGACGGAGGAGGGTGAAGTCATCTTTGGAGATTGGGCGGCCGTGGGTAGCGCTGAGAAGAAGCCTGAGTAAAAGCCGCATGGCATGCGCGTTGTCTAGTGGCAGCAGTCGTGGGCAGGTTGGTGAAGTCCCTCTGTGAAGTGAGCAAGACTTTTCGACCTCTTTTGGAGCTGAGGGAGTCTCATAGGATGAGTGTGAGTTATGAATGGCCCTATGAGGCCGAGACGATCACAGGGTCATACTTCCTATGGGGCACTGTCTCGAGACTCGAACTGTAGACCCCCCATTAGTCCTTGGGAACAATTATTAGATGTGGATACTGTAGGAGATAAATGAATAATCCTCTAGGGCTTCTCTGTGAGAGAACCATCATACAACTTCAACGACTCTGCTCGTGTTTTCCGCAATACGCGTAGTACTCACATGTATTTCTACAAAGTAGAAACAATAGAGTCGTTTCTCCACTGTAGGCTGCTGCCACTGCCCTGCCTTTTTCCTCAGGACCTCATGTTAGCTGTATCGGACTGGGAGTTCTCCCTCTGGTATATTGGAGGTTCCGCACCGTCTCTTACTCGTCCTAGAAGGGCGAACATGGATGAGGAGGAAGAGGAGGGGGACGAAGTGGAGACAGCGAGGCCTGTCAAGTCCCTGGCTGACAGAATACGCGAGCCTATATTCCGGAGTGCGGCACCAAGCAACTACTTTGCGTGCGGAGCTTGCTCCCCGTCACGGCCCGCGGTAGGGCGGAGGTGAACACTGGTTGCTCATATGACTTCGTAGAGGGATCATGGGAAAATTTAAAGTGAAGTATTGGAAGAATTGAAATGACGAACGCCTGGGTCTAGTATACACTTCGTAAACTGTGATTATAGACTGGCAGGCTTATGCGATACGCGGAACATTGATATCAAATACCAATACTATCAACTTGACGGTTAATGTGCTTCGTTGGACAGGTGCTTTACTTGGGCAGAGTCGATGGTAGTGTGGACGTCTGGGACTTTACCGACCAGAGTCATCAACCTCTGATGTCCTTTCCGGTCACTGCGGCTGGTCTCACATCTATGACCTTCTGTCCAGAGGTAGACACTACGGTATCACTCGTGATTCTATGGAGAATGGGCACGAGTGTTCTTAGGGGAAGTCACTCATGGCCGTGGGAGACGACCATGGGCATCTCCACGTGCTCAGGTTGCCTGTTAATCTTGTGTGGGGCCCCGATAGGGAGGAAGAGGTATGTGTTCTCCCTGGGGGCGGTCGGTGGCACTATGGAGTTTCGATTCTGTTCTCGCAGATCGTTCGGCAAATCCTGGATCACGCCTACCACAACCTTGATGGAGTTCCCGAGAGGAAGAAGATGCTCGAAGCTCTCAAGCAACAGAACGAAAAAGTGACGATTGGCCTCTGAGAAGATGAGGACGTCACTGCAATCATCTCAGGACACAACTACAGGTGATGAGGAGACAGTGGTGCTGACAGACTCGATGGTTGACGAGGAATACAAGAAAACACTGGCAGAATTCTGTGAAGCGGCTGGAATACCGCAGGCGTCTTCCTCTGAAGCTCCTCCCATGTGAACGTGATGATCCATGCCTCTTTGTACTCCGTCTTATCTCCGGTTGCGTTCTTGAGTGGTACTGATCTAGTATCCCGTAAACGGCGAAGAAGCGGTCCCAAAGATGATCAGAGTCGTCATCAATGATCAGCATATGATATGATTACTTGAAACACTGTCATGGGATCCATCACCGCATTCGATCACTCTGTCACCAAAATCAACACTCTGACTCAGTGTCACTAAATGAATCGGCGATTCCGCCTGAGACATGGCTAATGTCACATGGGAATACCTTTTTGACGGCGCCATTGTGTGCACTATTCTGACCTCTTATCAGGATACCTTTTTCCTCTGAAGGTGGTGGGATATTATATGATTTTGTTATACAATAATGTGTGAATCTATTTTAATGACATTTCCCTCTGAAGTCCATGTGCAGAATCGAGTGAAATGGCTCCTATGCGTTGCTACGCATCCAACCAATGGCGTCTGACCCTCATTCCATAACTCAAGCTTTAGTCGAAGTAATTCAGAGAATGTGCTGTTGTGACGATGGGCGTAGAATACTGAATTCGATTCTATCATTGGGAGCTTAGTCCAACTCGCGGTATAGATATCTATCTCGGAACGGCATGCAACATCGGAACCCCTCAGCTAATCTCCGATGTCGCGACCTATAAGCATCACACTGATAATAACCGAAAACTACTTTCGTAGGAAACTTCATGGTACAGAGAGGGATACGTTTTTCAGTGAGTTATGTTCCTTCGAAATACTTTAGCCCATTGTTATCACCAATGAGAAAGTGATTAGATATGAGCGGTCCTGGCGAGTTGGTAGCATTTTTATCTCCAAGAATTGGGCCTGCGTCACCGTAGGTCACTGATCGTACTCGGACGAATCCGGCGATATTGCCGATGCCCAAGGTGAATTGATCATCGCCGATGGCGACTTCATCGGGGATGACCTGGCTACTCGTCATAGACGTACTAGATTGGTAGTGAGCCACTGTATTCTCGCGGTCGGCACTTCACCACCCGACTTGGGCAAAGAGAACCCTTCCGCCTTCGGTTGAAGGTGCGGTGTTATGTTACCCTTCAGAAATGGATCGCTGGGCTGCACAGTGTAAATCTGCATCGTCGAAACTACCACCCGAAATTGATGTCCGTATTCGCGATATAGATTTCCGGGATGTTTACTTGTTACGCGCCCGCATCTACCCTTCTCGGCCATCTTCCAATCTCTCTCGGCAACGCAAGCACGGTGAAGTATCAAGGTGAGCATACAGCTATCTATCTTCCCAGGTATAGAGGGACAAACTTTATGTGGAAGTACTCGTTGCAATGCACTCCTTGGCTAACCCCCGCAAAATTCAACGCCAATAGAAGCAACAATCAAAGCAATTTTCATTAAAAAATAGAGAAGTATCAGCAGCCAGAATTCGAGCTACTGCGCTGAGCATATCACGCTCGTTTCGCTGATTGACGGGGCCATAGGGCGTACCTTGAGGGAACGTTGGGAGTCTCGAACTGCTGGAGGCAGCCACTCACATGTCCATGCCACAGGTGACCACTCCCAAGGCTCCGACGAATGAATCGTGAGTTTCAAACCAGCCTGAAATCGGGTATAATATTCCTATCAGAAGGCTTTCTCTTACCACTATTGTGGAGCCCCTGAACAGCCAGTAAGAGACTCTTGACGGCCAACTGTAGTTGGGCTGACTCAATCGAGGGATCATGACCAGCCTGGCCCTGGAGGGCAACCTAAGGAGGGGAGTGCCACGGGACTATCGGGATGATGTTCTTCCCTACTTGTTCGCGATACTTCTTATAGGCGATGGCGAAGTTCGTGAGCTGCATCAATGTAAAGAACTTCATACACATTTTAAGGGTATCAACGGGCTTGCTATCACGTCTGATCTGAAATAGGGAATACGGGAGAAGGAAAGCGATGGGGAGCTTCTCACAAGGCCGAGCTTTTGGAGCCAGAGGACACGATCAGTGAGGAGGAAGGCGAGCAGTAGACTCTTGCTGGCCACTCCGAGAGCCCTGTCGACCTCTGACTTCTTATTAAACTCATTAGGAATAGTAGGGATCACGGCCAGTTCCTTAAACCACCTGTAAGGTCATGTTCAAGGAGGAGTGGTATGATACCTGCTGTTACCTAAAAGTTCGTCTACTATCACCGAGCAAGCCTTGAACCATCTTGATCTGTCTGTAGAGCTCCTTGGTACTTGAGTCGGTCGACTCCAGAAGAATACCACCCCACATACGAGCGAAGTATCTTCATATGGAGGTTCAAGACAACAGTAGAGCCAAGAGTAGGAATCTCCTCGTACTGAGCGCCTCTCAAGAGTTTGTCCTTGACCTCCATTCTGGCTAGTTGACCATTGACCACGGCCAAGGAGACCGGCACCAGGTCCATCTCGGAACCATCTTGGGACATTGATAGAAGTTAATCAACTCAGTAAGCCTACACGTCCCGAATAAATAAACTCTCGAAGTGAGAGTTTTAGTAGGTGACGGTATGTTAAATAAACTCTTCTTGAGATCCAAGAACACTACGATCGGATTTTACATGTAGAACTCAGTCTGGGAAGCGCTCTTGAAACTCAGAAGGGCCCCATGTTCATTGAATGAGTTGTGGGTCAATTCTGAATCGACTCTAGCATCGTGTTATATGGGTAATAAGCAATTCTGGGAACGCTTCAGAGTTTCGAAATCGGTTTATTGAGCGACCCCGGGGTCTATAGGCCACGCCATGAATATCGGCAGAAGCTGCTGCTGATCTATCTCAGATGAATCTTGCACATCTTGTCAAATCTTGCTATTCCTTAACGCTGAATGCACCACTACGGTAGTGTCCTGTGACGACAGTACCATTGAGAAAACTCAAGTGAGCAAGATCGTATCTAACCGTTTCACCGTTTCACCATTTCAGTAACGGTTGCGGTTTGCGAATTAGATCAGCTACTAAGCTTGGGTAGTTGCTTCAGCGTGTCTACGTTCCACGCACTGGACCGCTCTATCGCTCTCTACTCTGCCACTCTAGATCTATCCTATCTGAGATCTTGAGTTAAGTTGTGCGGTTATCTCTCTCACAGAGTCCCTCGCCTAGAACCACTCATAACTGCACATCTCTTCTACCGGGATCATGTCTATCCCTTGTCTACGCTTCATTAAGCTTCCCGACAGGGATGCCTGGGTCCCCTCCTATGTCGTCAAGAAGAATGATGACCTGTCGGCCTTCTACATCCTCATCGAGTTCGGCCAGTGTTCTATCGCCTCCAAGCTGCTTGGAGACACGGTGAATCTACACACTATTGACAACAAGCCCCTCGTCGGTGCTTGGGTCAATGAGACCTTCAAGACTACGTGGAGAATGTCCTCCTCGACGGTCCCTCATGGCAAAGCTCTACAAAGTTCCACTACTCTGGAGCTCGAGGATATCTCGGAGGCCTTCATCAACAACATTGCTGATCCTACGGAGCCGCCACTTCCTCCTCAACAGCATTCCTTCCAAGCTACGGGTGAAGCATCAGCGTCCTCCTCATCTGGAGGAGTCTTTCCTTATCCGCCGATGCCATCTCACGCTCCACCCTATGTAGCTTCTGGTCCACATCCACATCAGCCTGTTATACCTCAGGGTTCTCACGCTAGCATTGGCCACGGTCCCGCGGTAAGCGAAGGTTCTCTACCAGCAGGCAGCACCAATCCCGTTACATATGGTGCCTCTGAAGGCCTTAACCAATATCAGCACGTCCCTTCCGCTGAAGGCCTTCCTCCCCATCACGTGGTATTACCTTCTGTCAACCAGGTCCTACCTTCTGCAGCTCCGATGGCTATGAACTACGGCTACCCTACCGGATACGGTGCTGGTTTTCCACTCCTACCTCCGGTCCCTCAGCCTCCTCCGGCCCTCGGTACTCATGGAGTCAACTTTGAGGTCCCGCAGTTCGCTCCCTTCTCTGGCAACAATGATGCTATTGACAGCACCACTCGCCACTACGCCAAGCGTGAAGCCAACTCTGCTGATCTACCCAACAAGCGACAGTTCACCGGCTTCAACGACGACCGTGCAGTGGCTGATGTTATCAAGTCTGTCAACCATCTCTCGTGCTCTAATGGTTGGGGTGCTCTCGAGTACTACTTCTTCCTAACCAGACTCTTGGACGAGACTGTCAGCAGGGAGGTCAGACCTTTACCTCAGCAGACTCACAGTGCTTGCGCTCGTGAGGTCATGCGCATCTGCCAGCTTCTCTCCCAGTTACACAAATCCAGTGACACGGACTACATCAGGAAGCTCGTCAAGTGGAACAGCCTTTACATGGGTGATCGCCAACAACTTGGTGACTACTTGAAGGCCTTCGACTCTATCCGCCTCGACATCGAGCGTCAGCAAGGTTATCCTTTCGAGGACCGGTTCCTCGCGTCCAAGCTGACTGCCAGCCTCCGAGGCGCTCATCATGAAGCTGCTCTCACGCGCATGAAGGCCTTAACCTACCGTCAACTTCTACATGAGCTCGTGGAACTTGACCGCCTTCGTCAACTATCTTCACACCAGCGTGGTAGATCTGACCCTTCTCAAGGCCGCAAGGATGACCCTCTCCCTAAGGTACCGCTCAACCAGATGACTGCCTCAACGTCTACAACGACAACCAACCAGTCGTCTACTCAGCAACCTACACAGGGCTCCAATGGTCATGGCAAGGGTTCTCACGATCGTCAACGGCGTCAGCGGCCGAAGCTTCGGTGTACCCGATGCATGGATGGTGATCCTAACTGCAAGGCTGGTGCCAGCTTCTGCCCTGCGCCGTCCCCTCTCAAGAAGGAAGGTAGGTGTCCCTACTGCAATAGGCCTTCTGTCAAGTGTACTGGTGTCTGTCCCAAGCGGGACTCGGTAAGGTGTGACCGCTGCTCACAACAGCATCATACTTCACACTGCCCTAACTCGCTGACCAAGTCTACTGACCCGACTCTCGACACCATGACTCTTTCCTTATCGGTTGAGTCCTTATCGTTCACCCCGCCTTCTTCAACGACAAATGGTCCTCTGAAGGCCTTCTGTTCTACCACACAGCCAACCACATCGCCACTTCCAGTAATCGCCAGTCCTGTTCTCAACCTCGACAACACTCTTCAGTCTCTCCGAGATATGCCATCATCCTTACGCAACGTGGAGTTCAACTTCCTCACGAAGGATGGTCGTTGTCCTGGTTTCACTGGGCTGCTGGACTCCGGCTCTCAGCTACTCGCTTGCTCCGACTCAGGCCTTCTTCGCCTTCAACAAGCCAATGTCGCTCTTGAGCCTACCGGTGTGACCTGTGTTGCTACTCTAGCGGTGTCCCGTCGGGTGAACTCGTGTCCCATCTACAAGATCACTTACTGTCATAAAGGCCTACGGGTTCAGACTTTCATTGCTCTTGTTCATGGCCTTGCTCGAGACTTCATCTTCAGCTGTGACGTTCTTCGCCGTGTACAAAATCCAGTTCTGTGGGTCTTCAATCCTTCTGGTGATCGCATCATCTCCCTCGTGGACACGACACCTCAAGTAGCTACTGCATGGAAGGCCTTCATCGACGCCGTGGACCTCTCTAGATCTGCACCTCCGGATGATCCTCCTAACAAGGTGGCTGTAGGCCTTAACTCCATCGACCTCGGTGACACACAACCTCCAACTGTCAACTTGGATGAGCACGAGTCTTGCTTCAACAAGGACTCCGTCATTCCCCTTCCTGTGGTCGACGACTTCTCCAACGTTGCTGACGACGACCTCACCAACGGCTCGGTTTCTACTTCCTTCATGCAGTTGCTCTTCTCAGAGCCTTGCCCCTTGGTGACTCTAGCCTCGCTGCCTGTCACGGACACCTTGGTGGTCTACTCCGATCCGGTGCCCTCCAAGCAGGTTTCTACTCCGTCGCCTCCTCCTCACAGGTTTGTACACCATCTCCGCTGGCGAACTGGTCACCGGCCTACCAACTCTCACATTCCCTTCCTCAAGCGGTCCTCTACTCTAGCCCATCAACTTCGCCGCAAGGGTCTCTTTGACGCTTACGATGCAGAGATACGTGGCTTCGTCCAGAAGGGTTATGTCAAGCCGGTGCCCCGAGAAGAAGTTCGCTTCTGGTTGCATCACTTTCCTGTTATCAAGAAGGGGTCCCAAGAAGGCTCTGTGAATCGAAGCTCAATGCGACTCAGGCCTGTCTTCGACGGTTCACCTCTCAGCAAGTTCATCGATGCCAGTCTGCCCGAAGGCCTTCATCAAGGAGTACCACAGAGTCTTGGACTCCTTCGCCGTTACGAGTACTTCGTGGCCCTCGACATCGTGCAGGCCTTCCTACAAATCGAGCTGCCTCTCGTCCATACCCCGGCATTTTGGCGGGATGAGAATAGTCGAGAATTCTCGTCAACATGCCGAACCGTTATTTTCTCTCGTTCTCGTCTCGCGAGATCTCGCGAAATTTCGCGGAATATTTCGTCAGGCGACGCACGTGTGCGCCAACAGGAAAACGAAAAATTGGCTCAACTGACATCGCTGCGCCATTAAGCCGAAATATCGCGCGCCGGAAAATGATATGACGCGCGTACAGTTATTCCCTTAGGTGCCGCATAGGCACAGGGATTTGGCCAAAAGTGGAGTATTAGGCTCAAGTTTCGAGCACCAAGTTACTAATTAGCTAGCCGTTATCACGTTCTAGACTTTTTTGCTCGTGTCGCGTTCTGTAGTCAGACTGAGTATCACAGACTTCCAATGAGGTCTTCCGTTGGTAGTGCGGATTCAATAAGAATCCACAAACTCTTTGGCGGCAAGTGGCATCCTGCTTACTACACACCAATTAATATATTCGTATATACTATGATAATAATGCTATAATATAATACTATCATCACAAATCACAGATTACAAATTACTATAGCACGGAATGTTTATCGCAGAGATTTGGTTAGAACTGCTGGATACTCCCGGAGACTACTGGAGACTCATGATCCGCGACGTGTGAGGTATTGTACGCCTTTGAGAACAAGGCCATTTAAAGCGCGGCAGGTCTCTGGTACAGTCGCTCTACATATAGCGGATGTATTTATATTTCGCACTGCGGTTTGCCGTCTGCGGGACATAAAAACATGGAATAGCACAAGAATGTCCGTTGGAGTGCCAAACTCACAGAGAGCAATTAGAACAATTCACAGAAGAGCTCATTAACAGCTGACTGCGAGATTCGGCGAGAATCCCGCGATATTCTCGCTTGTTCTCGCGATCCTGCACAGCTCACTATTCTCTCTCGTTCTCGTTCGCGAGACGAGAATAACGCGAGTCTCGACTTTCTCGAGACTCGCATGCCGGGATATGCTCTCGTCGAAGACCAGCGATGCCTCGGGTTCTTCTGGTGCAATCAGGCTTTTGTCTTTCAGCGAGTATGCTTCGGCATGCCTGACTCGCCCTTCGCGATGTCTGACTCTCTCGCCAAGGCCATGGTCGAAGCTGATGCTCCCACGAAGCACGTCCGCTGCCTTATGGACGACATCTCCGTTGGCTCTGATGATGCTCGCCATCTTACTGCCCTTCGTCGAGACATCACTCAGCGGTTGTCACATCGCATGTTCGAGACCAATGACAAGAAGGAGGTCAGCAACCTTCCCGACCAGATACCCAGTGATCCCCAACCATGTCTAGGTGTGCAATGGCATCCGAAGTGTGACTCTCTGTCTCTCAAGTCAGACCTTCGTCATAAGGCCTCAACGGTGACCACAGTCAAGCTTCTCAAGCGTTACGGCAACGGCTTCTACGACCCCCTTGGTTGGCATCTCGAGCTCTCTATGCAGCTCCGCCTCCTGTGCCGCCAAGCCAGGTCTAACGCCGACCCGCACACTGGTCACCTCCGCGCTGAGGACACCCAGGCTCTGGTCGCCTGGGAGAATCAATTGAAGGCCTTCGACCTAAGAGTCCCTCGACTTCTACGTCGACCAGGTGAAAATCACTGCAACTCTGTCTGTCTCTTCACAGACAGCAGTGACACCGCAGGCGCTGCTCTGTTGTACACCCTCCACGGCCAGCGTATTGCAGGTTCAGGGTATCTCCACCAACTCCAAGGACGTCGTACGGCCCCCAAGTTTGAGCTGGACACCTTGGCGTCTTCGCTGGAGTGGGCAGCGGCTATGCTTCAGGAGTCCAACGACCACTCTCCTGTCCATCATCTTCTGGTCTTCACTGACAGCAGTATCTCTATCTCTCGGCTACGTCAAGCTGACTCCCACCACTGGCGCCAACCGTTATCGGTCTGTCTTTTTCCAGCCCATCGACAACGTGGTGCGGACGGTTTCTGAGCCTGTCCACGACTCTGACACGCCCCTACCTGGGCCCCCAGAGTCTCATCAAGTTTCTGATGAGTCCATTCCTGACAAGGCTCCTAGCGTCGAGACCACCGTTAGCCCCCAAGTTGAAGCTGATTCTTCGAAGGCCTTAGCAAGTGCTCAGGACGACGCCCACGTCAACGACACTGCTCCAAGTGCTCTACCTTCGAAGGCCTTCACATCAACCACCGGCTCTTCAGCAGACGACACAGTCATTCACGAGCCTTCTTCGACCTCCTCTCGGCCAAGGACTAAACGGACTACTGTTCCACGCCGTACCGGTGACCCCCATCCTGAAGTGAAGAACTTCGCGTACATCAATTCTTCTGGTCGAGGTGGACTCCAATATGGAAGGGTTATCAGCGTTGACCAAGGCCTTTACCGACTGCAACTAGCAGACCGTTCTGCCGACGGAAACTCTCTACGCCTTCGCTCTGATATGGCCTCTTCTCCGACTGCCTATCTACTTCGTGTCCAAGGAGACTCTGACGACTTCCCCGACAACAAGACCGATTTCCGTCTGACTCGAGCGTCTGTCCGTTTCCTTGACAACCTCAAGATGACCAAGCGCTGACCGTCATTATTGATGATGATTATATTCTGTGATACCATTGTCTGCTCACTCCGGGCCCCCAGAACTGTCCTGTGACGACAGTACCTTTGAGTAAACTCAAGTGAGCAAGATCGTATCTAACCGTTTCACCGTTTCGCCATTTCAGTAACGGTCGCGGTTCGCGAATTAGATCAGCCACTAAGCTTGGGTAGTTGCTTCAGCGTGTCTACGTTCCACGCACTGGACCGCTCTATCGCTCTCTACTCTGCCACTCTAGATCTATCCTATCTGAGATCTTGAGTTAAGTTGTGCGGTTATCTCTCTCACAGAGTCCCTCGCCTAGAACCACTCATAACTGCAACGCAACGCAACGCAACGCAACGCAACGCCTATTACCGGGGCGTTACACGCCTGTTGGCGTATCGCCCTTACAACGACTGATGCACGCTAGAGTGGTAAAGAGCGGCAGCGAAATCCCCTGTCATGACAGAAATGAAAGAAGAAAGGTCAAAGAAAGACAAACGTGACCAGCGGACGAGTCTCCTAATCCCACACAGCACGAGTAGGAGTTACCTACAGAGGGAGATCACAGGTGAAGGTGGCTGGCTTTGGCAAGGGTGAGTGAAACTTGAAGCAGTTCCTTAGTGGAGTAGAGGAGCATGAAGAAGTACTTGTCTTCGAGGTTGGGTTGTACTGGTGTAGAAATGAAGGATGGCCGGAATCTGTTCAAACCTGGGCAATAAAGAAGGAGATGACGTACCGAATAGGCAGAATTGTTACATAGTGGACATAGGGCAGGGTGATAGAGGGGTAGAACACCTTGCCGAAGGCGGTAGATAAGGCATTGATCTACGCGGGGAAGAGAGTGAATAGGGTCGCGATGCCAAGCGTATGGCCCAGTCGCACAGTAGATCTCCCCCGGAATGGTGTACTGGAGCGTTGTTAGTGCCCTACATTTGTAGTGTTGTATTTTGGCTAACGCCCCACCTAGCGATTCTCGCGGGTATCGGGGAGGCATAGTCGATTGGGTCTTCGCCCTCATATCGACTTCATCATGCAATAAGAACCCAACGTGGGCCTTGATCCATTGTAGTCGTGTAGGGCCTGTCGACGGATCGTGACTGCTTGGGAGATCGGCTTGAAGAGAGACCACAGAAGAGAGGATAAACCACACGATAGACTTGTAGGGTGACGTTTGACACCAGCCTTGTTGTAGAAGGTTACATGTGCTTAGACTGTCCGTGCAAATAATGAGGGATCCTCGATGACGGAGTAGGGTAAGGAAGTCTGGAATCCGGGTAAGATCCAGGAGTGCATAACGCAACGCTTGCAGTTCAGCTTCAGTTGAAGACCAGATCTGGGGGCCTAGAGCTCCTTGCCCTTTTTTCGTAGAGTCTGAGAAAGCAGTAGTTGAGACCGGAGTTTTCCAGATAAGCGTCCACGCATAACTCGCCCTGTTTCCCCAAGCCTTAGACGCGATGTCCTGGTAGGATGCATCCACGAGTAAGACTAGCCGGCCAGATACGAGGTGTTCTGTAATAACTTCAGTAATAGCTGCTGAGTAGTCTGTGCGAGTAGCGGCCACGGGCACGTTCGGCAGGGAAGTCGATATTGTCAGCGGTGTTGTCCAGTTGCTAGGGTGAACTGGGCAGGCAGGCTCTGGACATGGCCTCGATGAGGCGTGGTAAAGGGATGACCAGACCGTAGCTGCCAGTTGGGCACTGGAACGTAGTAGACGAAGTACTGGGATTGAATGGACCTCGGAATACCATGTGGCGGCTGTACCGGTAGAAGTCGACAAAGTGGCAGCAGTCAAGACCGTAAATGGTGAATAATGCAGGCGAGCCAACTTATGAAATAATCGACTCAAGTAGGCATAGATGACCAAAGTCAAGGGTGGCTCGTCAGCTAACCGCAGACTCAAGCGTTTAGAGGCGTATATAGGACAGCCTAACATAGACTTAATAGCACAGGAATAACATCCTTCTACTAACTTCCACCGCTCTTGCGTCACCCCAAAGGCCCATGCTGAGCTACCCATTGTGAAGTTGTATTGTATATATTGCCTGTAAAGTTTTTTGTGAATCTTAGTAGGGGTTTGAAGTAGTAGAGAGATGGTTTTTGCCCGATGTTTCACGTTTTTCCGGATCTTCTCAATTTGTGGGCCCCAAGATAAGGTAGAGTCGAAGATAACCCCTAGTATGGTGATTTGATCTACTGGTTGAAGATGAAAGCCTTTCAGTAGGATTTGGTTAGGTCGAATAGTTCTACGCTTAGTTTTTGTGAAGTAGATAAGACGAGTCTTATCTTCTGCTAACTCCATTCCAACCGACTCTACCCAAGACTGGACCCGATTTAAGACTAGCTGGAGTTTGCAATCTACTTCGAATTGAGATGATCCGGAAGCCCAAAGGACAACATCATCTGCGTATGCAGCGAAGCCCGTTAGTGCCGGGTTTGGTGCAGTGCAGAGTCTGTCCAAGAGTTGTAAAAGGGGGTTTACGAATATTGCCCAGAGCACCGGCGCTAACACTGCCCCTTGGGGCAGGCCTTGAGATTGTTTACGCCACTCAGATCTTTCCTCATTGATGTCTACATAAAATTCTCTACCGCTGAGGAACGCACTAATCCATAGGATAAGTCGGGTGGTGACATTCGTGTGAAAGAGGCGACTACGCAAGACGGAAAGGTTCGTAGTATCATACGCTTTTCGCAAATCCAGACTCAAAAGCCCCACAATTTTATGTTGCGAGTGAAGAGAGGATTTGATCGAAGAGCTTACATAGGCAACCTCCTCCTCAACCCCTCGTGATCGTTGGAAGCCGAATTGGTGAGGATGAAGGGGCTGCGGGTTGGCCGTAGTTAAGAGCTCATGCTGTACTCGATTAAGCACCATAGATTCCGCCAGTCTAGCTACTATACTCGTCAGGGAGATCGGTCGAAAATTTTTGCAGGTGGATTCGTGCGACCTAGGGTTTTTTTTCAACACGATAATTTTAGCTGAACGCCACTGTCGAGGAATTTCAGACGTGGTATATGTCAAGTTTACTAGGCGCAGAATAGCTTTCAGCGCCAAGTCTGACGCATGAACGATAAACTTTGGATGAATATTATCGGGTCCAGGTGCTGAGGTTTTTTTTGCTTTATACAATACTGCTGCCAATTCCGACCAAGTAAAGGGGGTCTGTGGGTAGCTCTCAACATAGGTTCCAGAGCGACGCTGGCGAAGTAGAAGATTGCCTTGACGCTGCCAGTGATGGATCGAAGCAGTACTCAAACGAGATCGATAAATATCTCTACTTAAATAAAGTGAGTACAAATTTGCCGCTGCTGCCCCTCGTGCGTTGTCTATGACTGTCGTCGGCGTGGTCGTTTGCCCCACTCCTAAGGCCATAGCTCGAACTACCTTCCAGTCCTTTGTCGTGGCAAAGTCCAAAGTCGACGTAAATTTCTCCCAATGTTGCCGTTGTGCTGTTCGTATAGCAGCCTTGTACCTCCTACTGATAGAACAAAACTTCTCCTGCAGGATGTTGTGAGGTAAGAGGGCGGCAGTACGGCGATATAGGGCCCGTCGGATAGCATTCTTCTCAAGCCGGAGTTTGTTCAGCGAAGAGGTCCAGTACGGCTTATACAAATGTAGGCGACCACGGCTAATAGAGTGTGAGGCTGCTGCGGCAAAAGCACGGGATAGTTGGGAGTGGATCACATGAACTGAAGAAGACCAATCAATCGAAGCAATGTGTGAGTCTAGAGTTGAGCGAAAGGCGGTCCAATCCACAGTCTTGAAGTTCCACGTGCTCCGCTTGGCGGATCGACATGGCGGCTTGGTGAAGTGGGGAATGACACCAAGTGAGAGCTGGAGAGGGAGATGGTCAGAACCAGCGAGAGCATTTGTGAGGATGCACTTGTGGGCGGCGGGAGCTATATCTTTAGTGACCCCCATCACATCTATCGATGACATGGTTCCATTGTACCCCATGTAAGTTGGGGGTTCTTGGATATGATGAAGCAGCTTGTAGTTGTGAGAGTGGACCCAATGATAGAGCATAGTTCCGCGCTGGTCTGTCGCATGAGGGATCTGAGTACCCCACGCTGGGTGATGCCCATTGAAGTCTCCCAGAATAATAGAGTGTTGTGTGGGAATATGCGGGAGAGAGTCCTCTGGAATTCTAACAGAAGGACGAAAGTAGCAATTAATAATTGACAACGGTAATGGAGGATGTTGAGTATTATCAAGAACAACTGTGGCAAGTATACAGAATAAATCGTGTGAGTCATGATAAGTAATGGTATACAAATGATGGTAGGTAAGATCATCGCGGATTAGTGTGACCAGACCACCGCTGCGACGACCACGTGAAGACCGCTGAGATGTCCCCGGAGTCGATGCCGAAAGCAGATGGTCGACATGATATCCAGGGAAGCGTAGGTGGGCGGATTCGGTGTGGAATGTTTCTTGAAGGCAGACTACATGTGGCCGAGCAAGAGACAGGTAACGAGCCAATTCCAGCTTGCTGCCAAATAAGCCATTAATGTTGTAGGATACCACGGTAAAGCGATGGGGGCGCTTGCGATGCCGCCGGGGGGGCTGATGATGAGTGTGAAGGACCATACTGGAGAGGATGCGAGGAGAGTCGCAGAAAGAAAAGGAAGGAGGCAAGGGGAAGTCACCGCCACTCAGTCACCACCCGTTGGGTGATTGTCGAGTTCGGTATAAGCGGTCTAGCTTCGCATACTCCGAATGAGTATCACTCCCACGCCACGTTGAGGCGCTAGACCATATGGGAGACTCATAACTGCACATCTCTTAGAACTGTCCTGTGACGACAGTACCATTGAGAAAACTCAAGTGAGCAAGATTGTATCTAACCGTTTCACCGTTTCACCATTTCAGTAACGGTTGCGGTTTGCGAATTAGATCAGCTACTAAGCTTGGGTAGTTGCTTCAGCGTGTCTACGTTCCACGCACTGGACCGCTCTATCGCTCTCTACTCTGCCACTCTAGATCTATCCTATCTGAGATCTTGAGTTAAGTTGTGCGGTTATCTCTCTCACAGAGTCCCTCGCCTAGAACCACTCATAACTGCACAGTAGATCAAAGATCGTCGTCGTCAGTTGTTGAATTGAGTGTATGTATAAGGGGTCCAAGGTTGGTGGTGCTAAGTCCAGCACTGCTGGGGCTACTACTACTCCTCCGGCACCTATCGGGCTCACTGATGAGATACTCTCTAATATGGCTGTTGGTAAGGTCTTTAAGGATGCCACTAAGAGGGTAGTAGGTCTAGACAGGATCGTATGGTCCATAGGGTGTGTGTATTCAGGTTAATAGTATTGACTTTACATCTGATGGGAGGTACCTTATAGCAAGTAGTGATGATGAAAGTGTTAGTATATATGACACAGAAAAGGGCAAGGCCCACTACGACGACGACTAGGGTTCTACCTGAGGTCCTCCATGCAGGTGTTCGCCACAAGTTACTCTACTCCAGAAAATACGGCTGCGATAATATACAGTTTGTTCATAGTGGCACTAACTCGGCGCTCTGTTCGAGTCGGGTTGATTTCGATCGTAATAGTCGGGATGGCCGGTTAAGGAATGTAGTCGCAGTGTGGATACTCCCGTTTGGAATCTGTTGGATCTGAGATCATACAATAATGACCCCTTAAAGGCCTCTGATCGAGTTTTTGTTGGTATTGGCAGATTCGCTGAGGTATTGGGATCTATATGAGAACAAGTTCTTGCGGTATTTCAAAGGGCATACAGGGCCAGTGTCCTCTCTGAAGGTCCATCCGTAATAATAGCAGGCTCGTAGTGTGCATCGCAAAGTGAGGATCTCATTGTGAAAGGTACGAGGATCAATTCTTGTCAACATCTTTGAGTACAGCTAGTGGTGGTGATTCGACTTGTCTTATGTGGGACCTAAGAAAGGAAAGACCAGTAGCTCGGGTCTATAGTCAGGAACAAGTCACTAAGGGTAATACTTGGGGGCTTATGGGTGTGCATGGTCGTTGGCCCAGTGGTGGAGTAGGAATATATATTCGCTTCCCTCAAGAGTTTCCGCACTCCTTATAGGAGTTTAGATATGAATAACGGCAGAAGTGCTCAGAAACCAACAAGGACTTCCTCGAAATTTTTTCGTCGTCAACGTGTTCGTCATGTTCTTGTATTGCTACATGGTGCTGACCTATGTCACTGGGTCTTGCGAAAGAATAATTTTTCTAAGGGGTCACTGGGTCTTATCATAAGACTCTTATGAGGGGAACTACTCTCGAACGAATTTGAAAGTTCACTCTGGCGAACTGCTCGGACAGTCGTTGTTGTTGTCATTGCATCAGGTAGTTCTAGTGGCATTCTCGGTGGTCCATGTGCGACCTATGATACTCAAGGCTTGGTCTTTGCTGTATCGAGTTCTACACCAACAGGGGATGCTGGCAAGAAGCCCATCGCTAAAGTGCATATGTTTGACAATCGCCAATTTGATAGGGTAGTAGTAGTGATGGTCGGGAGGTTGCTCTTCACGTACTTTAGTTCTACGGAATGGAAATTTGTTTGGTATTCCTTTATGGGGTCTCTATTCGTGGTATTTCAGGGGGAGTTTGAGGCATTCGACTTGTCGCCATTTACGCAAGGAAGCCCTTTGAGGTCGATGCTATTCTCACCTTGTGGAAAGTACGTTATTGTTTGCATCGCTCCGCTAAGATTTGATTCCCGTTCAGATACCTTTTATGTTCGACAGCTGCGGGAGACCTGTTCGCCATAGACTCTTTTTCTGGGCGCTTGCGAGCGACTTATAAATTTGATGATCCCCACTTGCAGTCGGGGTCGCAAACGTGGAAGAGCTTGCCAGAGCGGGATGGGCTCAGGCCGACATTTTCGCCGGACGCGCGGTATGGACATATTTGGAATATTTCGGTTCATCGTGATTCAGTTACGTTCTCTGTGGAGTGCCTGGTGGTAGTATCTATGTATGGCCGACTCTCACCAAAGGGGCACAGGAACAGGCCATGAGTGAGGACCCTGTTAATGTGCAAGCCTGCGAGCCCAAGCCGGTCGCCATCCTAAAGGGCCATTCTGGATACCCTAGATGCGTTAAGTTCTCTCCGACGAGGTCGTTGATAGCATCGGCAGCTGCCGCAGTGGCGTTGTGGATACCAAAACAGTTCACGGCACCTATTGGGACGCAGACGGATCCGGTGGCGATAGCCAAGCAACAGGTGAGTGGAGAAATGCGGCTGCCGGGGATCGAACCGGGGACCTCAGGTTACTCTTGGTTACTGAGTGCAATCGTCGATGGAGTACGGTGTTCTTCCTTGTTGTTACCATTTCTTCTACTACGAATATCCCGACGTGAGACTAAGTTGTTGAGTTACAGTCTTCGGGTATATTGGCATCAGGGCGTGTTAGAAGTAGTGTTGGTTGCTGCACGCATGCACAAGGTCATATCTTTTCAGTGTAGTTTACTCATTTCCCGTAGCTATGTCGTACTCTGTTCTGGTAGCAGGTACGCCAGGTGTTGGGAAATCAACGTTTTCTAAGGAGTTGGGGTCTGCCATAGGATCATGTCGGGTTATAGAGCTTGGCAAGACTAGTACTTAATCTGAATCTTACCAAGTCTAACCTAAGATTCTTTTCCTTTAGTTGCAGCGGAGCATTTGTACAGCGAGTGGGATGACGACCATAACTGTAGCATATTCGATGAGGATGCTGTTGAGCAGCATCTCGAGAGCCTCGGAGTTTTCGGCAAGGAAAATGTCGTTATCGATTTTCACTCGCCGGATTTCCTCCCGCCTGAGTGGTAATAGTAGGGTGTAGCAGTGATGTGGATAAAACTAAATTGTAGAGGTGCATAGTGTAAATGGGTATCATTGGAACTGCAGCTCGAAATTAATGTCGTATCTGCGTTATTCGCAGAATGGGTGTATTCAACAGTGAGCTAGGTTTTTCGAAGGTATCGAAAACAGCTCGGCTGGAGCGTCTTGTGTAATCGCGAGAATAAGTTTACTATAGGAGGATGTTCTATCGTTTGGGAGAAGGGTTGTAGTACTCAAATCCAGCTGGAAATTGACTATGACATTTCAGGGAAATCACCATTGATTATGATATTAATTTGGTGTCCATTTTTCATGTAACATCGCCTGAGGAACATATTTTCTGTGTTTTCTCATCGATTTTTCACCGAGTTACGTGCAGTAGCTTTTAAGGTAGAGTTGGTTATTGTGATGGTATTACTGCTCAGGTTCGACTTGGTAGTGGTCCTAAGGTGTTCTACGGATGCTCTTTGGTCACGCCTGGAGCAACGTCATTACACGGAGGCGAAGATAAAGGAGAATGTTGAATGTGAAATATTCCAGACGGTATGCTACACTCCTCCCGGGTTCGATCCTCGGTGAGGGCATATTTACATCGTTGTAGATACTTGATGACTGTCGGGAGCACTTCGGGGAAGAGAAAGTGTTGGAATTTCAGAGCGTGTCTATAGACGATATTGCCACTAACGTACAGAGCGTCCTGGCTAAGCTCTCCTCCACTGCTAATAGTGTCCATTGAAAGCCCCTCCCCCTTTTCCTGGTCGTTACCTATCCCTGTTCCTTTGCTTGCTGTATACGTAGCTTCTATCGAGCTTGCTGTTGAGTCACGAACACGTCGAAGACACAGCGTTGTGATGATCCTGTTGAAGTGTGCATATCTAGTCGCCGTGTCCAGGGCTTCTAGAGTGAGGTCGGTGTATTCCACTTCGTACTGTTACTTACATTGTTACTCAGTAGAAGTACTGAATTCACTCTGATTTTGGGGAGCTTGCCGACATTGGGAATTATGTGGGCATGGTGGTCTTGGTAGCTGTCGTTGTGCTTCGTGTTACTTCTTCCGTCCTTGTTTGAGGATACCATGGTAGCTGTGCTGGAAGCCCCTTCAAAAGGCAGATCCCTATGGAGGAGGATCGTTGCTAGTGTGAAGAGATTCAATCGATCTCGAATTGATTATGCCCGTCTGGCTTGGCCCGTCGAGTGGGCTATATTCAAGAAGGGCGCCTGGTGAGTATGATACCTGTCTTCGCTATTATAGAGACTTTCTATCGTGTCTACTTCCTTGGTATGGCCTTGCATTTTGTAGTGTTTGCAGTCGTTTCGGACTGCTGTTAGAGCGATGGTATACACAACGACATGACGTTACTATTAGGATCTTTACTGTTGGCTGCTACTTGGTCGTATAGTTCAATTTCATGGCATTTAACTTTGCTTTCAGTGTGATACGATTGGTATTACGTTATGTCGCCTCGTTGTTATCATCAGGTGGGGTATATTATTCTTCATTATAACCCTCCTTATCCACAACTGGGTACACAACTGTGTCTACATGCTAGCTGGACAATATGGCGTGTGAGTAGTTGCTACCGCTGCTGCTGCTGATCAACAACGACTCTCAGGTATGGTCCATATGGTCGTCCTGGCAACCCTGTTGTGGACCTTCTATTTGAGCTCTTCGGCCCTGGGCCAGTGGACTGGACTGTAAGCTTTTGATGGATTGGAATTTCGTGGCGCGTGACGCTGCAGAAGTGCTCTTGTTTTTCAGCCGGCCCCTGGCGACGTCATCCTATACTGTACAATTGTGATGGGTGTTCTCTATGCTCTCCGGCCTCTACTTTTCCCCTTCCCTTTTCGTGAGGATATATGTGTTGGGAAATTATCGATCATGTGTTACTGTGGCTAGGCACGATGAATATACTCTGGCGTTGGGCAGTGGTGGCTAGTCTGGCAACTTATGCGAGATTGGCATCATTCATATTCACGGTAAGTCGGGATTAGTGTTGGAGGGATGTACGTTCGCTCTCCTCAGCTGAGCTCGGGAGCTTCCTCACTAATTATAGAAGTTTACAGCTGAGTTCGGGTACATAGAAGCATACAAAAACCAATGAGAAATTCCAAAATTTCCTCAGAATTTTATGTATATTCCCATTTTCCGGATGGTAGCACGCAAGCACAAGAGTATCTCTCCGTAGATCTTGCCTGGTCCAGCTGAGCATTGTTCTGAGGCAAACTTCAACCCACCGACTACGGCTGGCGAGGTGTTCAAACGTATTTTCGTTTCTGGAGGCTGCAGTGACCTTATATTCTCGGGACATATGCTCTACGTTATCAGCGTTACATGCGCATTGTGTAAGTGTATCGTTGCTGGAGGTCCACGGTTCGATCCCCGGACATGTCAACTTTAGTCCGTTACGGTGAACACTGGTCCATCAAATACTTTGCACTTGTACTCAATATACTACAGGGCTTCCTTATCATCGCGTCACGTCGACACAACACAGTGGATGTGGTATGTTCGCCTTTCTTGTTTATAGGTTTTCAGCATTCCTCATTATGTCAGGTTGTTGCTGCATACGCAGTGCCGTGCATATGGTGTACGTTCGCTTACTTTGTACGGTCCACATTTCCACCGTCAACAGACATTGCGTTGTATAGGTTCCTAATGATTTCGAAGTGGAGACCCCTCCAGAGATCACCGGTCAGCCACAAAATACAAGTCTTGATGCGGCGGTCACTGAAGCTAGCTGCTATGGTGACTCACCGGATTTACAGTCACCCACTCAAGGACGAGCAAGTGGCTCGACCGCAGTGTCAGATATTGAACTAGGCGTTGGAAGTGACATTCCGACTACTGCTATACCAAACCATACACCGCCATGATGATGATTATCGACGATTCAATGGCATTTTGTAAAGGACTTATAATATTAACAGATTTGTATTGCTACCTGTCGGGTGGCAAAAAGAAGGTTTTTCGCATCTTGGCGGCGTCTTGGCCAGTGTGCTGTTAGTGCGCCGTGAAGTGAACCTGCCTCATTCGTGGCATTATGTTCTATGAGTTATGTTACTCAGTATGTTCTTTCCTACTTTTCCTACTTATAGTCCTTGCACCTTCCTACATCAATAACAATATAATCAATAGTGTTCCTCGGTATACGGCTTTTTGAGTTCACGGCGATTCTACTACTTACTCTGTAGTGTGGTTGGAGATGGATGAGACCAAGAGGATATTTTAGGTTATTCACAGTAGGAGTGTAAATAACTCCTTAGTGTTTTAGGAGTGTCTCGATTGGGGCGAGCGAGAAATGCCTTTTTGCTAAGATTGAGATTCTCGGGCGCGCGCTATCTGAATGCAATTCCCTCTGAGGTCGACCATTACATAATCTATGAGCAGTCCTTCTCGGTATTGAGGGGAGGCCTCCACGCCTGGTGTTCGGCTCAGTATTGCTCTGGAGGTGAGCTCGATTCGAGTTACACGTGTGGGGGTCGCAGGTGATTTATGGTGTATGTAGCGATAGGGTAGTTTGACGAGGAATGGGTAGGGACACGGCAGTACATCGTAAGTCGGGTACTACTCAGCATCCTTCTTACTAGCATTTATTACAGCACAACGTATAGCCTTTGTAGGATCGATGAACTCTCCGGTTGATTTATTATTCATCGAGCAGTAGTAGTTTGGTCCTGCTGAGGGTAATGTAGACCAGTAGGTTATTAGATGTGGGGTATTCTGAATCGGAGAGTGAAGCCGACTCAGTAGCAGCGACTGGTGTTGGATAATGCACTTCATGAAGTTTTCCTTGTTTTTTCCGCCTAGCGTGATGATGATGGTAGTAGACTGGAACCCAGACAGTACGGAAGAGTGAATAGTAGTCCTATGTGCACTCCGTTATGGTTGGATATCGTGGGCGGCAGCAAAGGCCACACATTCAGTTCATAATTTTGATGTCCATTTGTTATTCTAAGGATGATGTTGACGAATTTCTGAAGTAAAGTTCGTCTTGAGGTTTTCACTGTAAACTGGCATTGGCTTGGGGTCGTCTTGTACGCCTCGGATGGGGTGATGGAAGAAGGCGTATATTCAATAGTTCGTTGGGTGTTCCACCCGTGATGCGAATAAAACATATTTCACGACCACTGCGTAACACCGCGAATATCGGGGTTTTCACAGAGTATTACGCCACTTCACGTAAGACAGTGGATTCAGCTCCATTAGTTAGAGTAGGTTCTATTGCTTGGCCTTAGCTATTGTGTTACTACCCTATGTCGCCACCCGACTTGACAGTTTTAGTGACAACTATGGAAACCGGGAGAGGTCTGATGACGAATGGTACTGATAAAGACGTACCAGAACTGGTGCCTCTTCCTGTGACGGTGAAAGCCGATGTTCGAGAGGAAGGGACTCGGCCGGAGTGCATGAGGACTTCAAGATCGGATCGGATAAAGGCAATTTGGCGGGTTAGAATTGATTATATCAAAGAGGCATGGCCGTTGGAGTTGAAGGGCGGAGCGTGGTAGGGTTTTTCGATAAGATAGTCGTGCGTGAGGTTCCGGGCAGGTGGGGTATCGTATGGTTCGGATTGACATTAATAGTGCATAACTGGGTGCACAATATGGCCTATTATTATGCTGCGAAATACCACGTGTAAGTTTAGCGGAGCGAAGCAGTAGAGATTCTCATGCTTTGGTCAGTTACGGTCCATATAAGGGGTCGAAAAATCCCATTCATGATTTCCCATTTGAATGGTTTGGCCCTGGTCTTGCCAATTCGGCGGTAGTATGATGCCTGTTTTCTGGTGGTTATTATTATTGCTGTTCTCGACGATTCAGGTTGCTCCTGGTGACATAACCAACTACTTCAGTTTGATGTTGGGACTTGGTTATGTTCTCCGACCACTATTCTTCAGATTTCCTCATCGTAAGGAGGGTCTGCTTCGCTCCGCCTATTTTTGTTATTTTCAGGCGCTATGAATATGCTGTGGCGGTGGGGAATGGTAGGTAGTTTGGCAACGTATGCTCGGCTAGCAACGTTCATGGTCACAGTGAGTGAACAGTGTCGCCTGTGGGAGGGGGGCAGTGAGTTTATTGTTTTGCAGTTACTGCCAGGCTCGGCGGAACACTGCGCAGAGAATGAGTTCAATCCACCGAAGGACTGGGGGGTTATTCTGACTAGACTTTTCACTTCGGGAGGCTGTAGTGATCTGATATTCTCGGGTCATATGATGTACACGATTATCGTTACATGTGGAATATGTGAGAAAAATGCAGTATGTGCGGTTCGAACCGGGGATCATTTTCAGTCCGATATAGTTGCAACAAGTACCTCAAGATATTTGTGCTCTTGCTTACCATCCTGCAAGCCTTCCTTATTGTGGCCTCTCGATCGCATTATAGTGTTGATGTGGTAGGAAGTTCACGGAGTTGTCCAAACTTAATACTACTACTCCTGTCCAGGTGGTCGCAGCCTATACAGTACCGTGCATATGGGTGACCTTTGCTCACTTCGTAAGCTCGTATAACTGCACATAAGTGATCGTTATGATGGTGAGGCGTGGTCAGGTTCCCAACGACTTCCGAACAGTCGGTAAGTCAATCTCATCTCCTGGAGTATCTGATGACGACGAGGAGTACCCGAGGACAGTGCCGTCTTCTGGCACTGCCAAAAGCGGCAAGCCTCGAAAGATTTCCTCGGTCAGCACAAGGACGTCTCCTGATTGGGTAGGCGATTTAGAACTGGGCGAGTTCCCGTCATGTGAAGGTAAGTAGTTCATGGTGTTGTTGAGTATTGGAGAATTTCCCTCTCAGGTGCATGAGTTCCGTCGAACAGTCTATAATTGATTTTAATCGATAACATTCTACAACATCTGCGGTATGAATTTTACGTATTTTATATTCCACCTTGGTACCGCACAAGGTCAATGTTGATGATACCTGACCTGCTTTGATAACAGTGAGGTAGTGCTGACGACAGCGCCGCCCAGTTTGCTAATGCATCTATTCTTACTGCCCTATTGGGCGTAGGAGCTCGAATGGTGTGATTAACGCTATCGAGTGGTATTATTTTTAATCTCATCTTCCGCCGTTAATGACGACCCTCATGACTGATGTGATGATGTTGAGCATATTCCAGTTGTATTGGGTTCACACTGAGTAGGGGGGAAATGGTGTTGCTGAAGGCTATCTTGGATCGGCAAGGTTGAGCATTCTGGAAAAAAGCCTTGTTGACGATATCTTGCGCGGTCGGGGCGTGCGCTAATGCGGTTGTTGTGGCTCATCTCGCGCGATGAATGTTGGAGTCTATTGATAATAGACAAAGTCGATTATCTACCACTTGGTCTTTCATTGTCTGTTTATTTGCTACGACCAACCTACACTGTCGTTATTGGATTTTGAATGCGAGATTTGCGAGGCTCAGGAATTTGAAAAATGTTGTACTTACTTGTGAGTGTTTTCGCAAAAATCACGCGGCCAAAGCATTGGAGTGTTGATGTTGGAAAATGTCGAACGGGTTTAGTATTTCACCATCATTATGAACGATACTCAGAAGGAGACAGTGGTGGTCAAGTTGGACTCAGAAGCTGATGACGAGTTGACATTCTGGCCTGTCAATGGGGGAGTACAGGAGTTGAAAGGGAAGACCCTTATTGTGGCTTGTGGCAGCTTTGCATCGATTGAGGGGCTGGCCTGTGATTACATAATTGAAGCCTTGAAGGTAGCATAAAATTTCTGGGCACCTTGGTTGAATTTCGTTCCGGCTCTTCAGCTCAGCCCGGTGGGAGTATTCACTTCGACGTATATAGAAGCCTTGGTGCAAACGCTGGATGGTGGGAGAACGATTGCTACTGGTATGGAACTGTACGGTGGGGAAGACTCCGCTTACATGGTGGGTGAGCACAGATATATGAGCATGGGCTAACTCGTCTTTGGCAGGTACTTCAACTCCGTAGTTCATATCGGAAAAAGGGACTGTTGGGGCGAGCGCTGTCCCGATGGATCACCAGCGCTGGCTTCTCGAGGGTCCTGGGGGTGTCTAGTATGAGCAGCCACGTACAAGACGACAGCGACTTGGAGGTGGATACGCCTTTGAGAGGATTCAGGACCGAAAATACGTCATTCGGGGTGGGTGAATTCAGAAGGCAACCGCGAGGGTTTCAGCGTCTTTTTCGATTCAGTTGCCGGTAGTGGATAAGAATCGTATTATTGGTGGTGGTCTTATTACAAGGCTTGATGAGGACATACCTGGGCTGCTGTGCTTTGCCAAGGGAACTGATGTTGAGAAGTTACCCCTCGCTCGGATCATGGCGAACTTCTTACTCACTAACGTGAGATCGCGTGGGGAATCACCAGGGGTCTTGTAGAGTTACCTTTGATCAGGTATGTGGCTTGCCTGAGGCTCCGACTGACCTGCGACCAGCGTCGTGGCTTGCCATACAGCAAGCGAGCGGATATGGGAGGTATGATGACGAGGAGGATCTCCGTAGGATGTGGGCTTGAGTTTCTGACCTTGCTCTAGTCTCGTGTGGTTAATGGGTAGTGTTGGCGGTGGCGTGGTAGGATAGAATATCATGTATGGGATTCATCTCATCAACAAGTCATTGTCGGCGGATGGTAGAGGAAGAGATGGGAATGTCCTCCTAGATCAAGGGTAGTAAGGGAGTGGGGGTCTTGCTATGATGTAGCGCTAGAGAAAGGCCCAACTAGTCTCCGAAGAGTATAGGAGGAATTATAACTCGGCGTATGGTGTTGGTCGTAGTGCGTCGAGAAGGATAGTGGTCTTGGCATAGTGGTGCAATCTCCTACTGTATAGTGGTAGAGGGAAACGCTATGGAAAGAAAACAACGCAATGCGAAGTGGAGACGATCCAAAGAGTCGTGTTGTGAGATGGTCCTGTTTGATCGCGTTTTGAATAGAGGTGTCCTGTAGTGTGAATGGCAATGGGAACTATCGTGGTTAGGGAAACTCGAAGGCGTTCTAGTGACATTCTAATTGAATCCATTCATTGACAATGGAGAGTTTCGCTGGTTTGAGGAGCTATTCCTGTTGGGGGGCGGCCTTGGTGAGTATTCAGATTCCGAGGGGGTAAACAGAATACACAGAAGACACTTCCGCATATTGGGCGTCCATGTGGTGGGGTCGATGGGCACATCAATACGACTTCCTTACGCCTGGGGAAAGCCAATGTAGTAGAGGAGGGAGTAGGAGGAGGAGGTTGAGCCTTGTTGCTTCAGAGTGATGAAGTGTGGAATTACTCGTTCACTCGTCCAAACGAGGATTTCGTCCACCTCAAGAAGAAGTCGACTTGTGATGCGTTGAAAGTATCGGAAGTGGCATGCAGAGTTGGACGGGAGCTGGCGGAGGCTACCGAGTTGAGTAGAATTCGGAAGGAAAAAACTGGCGGTTTCGACTAGTGAGTGAATTCGCTGGAACCTCCGAAAGGTATGTTGGAGTTCAGCGCTCCTACGAGACTGGTGGAGATGATCCCTTGGAGTGCTTCCATTGACATGGTCACAGGCGAGTGGAAAGGAAAGCAGGTTCGAGGCCAGGCATTCAATCGCCAAGGTAGGGCGGTGTGGGAATATATGCACATGCTCAGCTACATGTGAAAACAGGAAAATTCTGAGGGAATTTTTGGAGGAATTCTTGGTGGTTTCTGTGTACTACTACCCGGGTTTGTTCATATTATTTGTGAGGAAACTCTTGAGCTCAGCTGAGGAAAGCAAACATATATTCAAACATTGAGGTGGGGACTCCCCTTGGGAGGAGTATAATCTGTGGTTTAGTGGGCTTGCACGCTGCTCGGCCTGAGCCATCATCATCGACGGTCCAGACCACAATAGAGGCTACAGCACCAAGTCTTAGTACCGCACCAATTTCAACTCGCAAGGCTGGAGTTTTCGAAAGGCATGGGTTCATATTCGACGAGTATAAGAGGTGAAGGTTCCTAAGTCGGGGATGGGGTAGTTGAGGTCCCTCAGGCACCAGTATCATGGATATACTCGGACCAACAATGGTGGTATGTGGAAGTGTGAGTCCTTCGTGGGGCCGGGTTGAAGGGAGCCCCTTGGGTGTTTTATTGTAGTCGACATGTTCTGTTGTTGTTCGTGTAGCTCACTGACCTCGTTGTTGTGTTGAATATATACAAAGAGTGGATAAGAGATGAAATATAAGGAGGGAATAAAAGAGAAAAAGAATGATAATTGTATTCTCTCGGAGGGGACAGTAGCCTGTACTGTGAGATGCGGGGTCAGTCATCGGAGATACCCGGCAGAGACCAGCCTCATGTTAGGGTTGGTAGGCACTGTTCATGGGAGGAATTCTGGTGGGTTTTCGGCCAGCGGACTCTAACGTGGAAGGCAGAGGGGGAGTTCATCATGGCACTATGTATCGTTGATAGAGCTCATTTCTTGGGTTCCCGACGGCTGATAATAAGGTTACATTCGAGCTGGTTTTGAAATGTCTCATCACAACAAATGTCCAAGGTGAGTTACACCTTAGATTTTCATCGACAGTTTGGCCGAGCGGTCTAAGGCGCCAGCTTCAGGCGCTGGTCCGAAAGGGCGCGGGTTCGAATCCCGCAGCTGTTATTTTGTACATCTTCATCGTGTAAGTGATGTAATGACTCATGAAGTATCACCGCTTCCCTGGAGGTTGGAAAGCACTTGAGAAACTCACCGCAGCGTAATCGGGGATCGTGTGCAGGCAAGCACGTCAACTTTTGTACACGCGTGCAATCCTACCATGTCTCCTACATCAGGCAGCTGATGCCATTCGGTGGCCTCACGAATCGGCTCCGCGACATGTCCGACACATGTGCTCCTTTGAAAGGTAAGATACCGGCACTTCACGAAGCTACCGAAGCTGTTGGTGAATCGAAAGAGCCACAGGTGACGGTGAAGAAAGCATGCGAAGGAAACGGGAAGCTTGAGGAGAGAGATCAGTATTTTTCAATTGGAGATGTCGCCGCATGGTAAGGCTATGCAAGTGGGATGCCTGACCAGTATCATCATATTCATCACGACTCCGGCTTTAGGCAACTCGTCAAGGGTCGAGTAGGAAGTTTTTCAACGCCAGTCACAAGCTGTCTTACGACGCACCGGGGTTCATACTGCGAACACAAATGTCGCAGGATGGGTCGTCAAATGTCGCCATCAGCGATGAAAGCGGAGCTGTTGTTGCTGCTACCCATTATGGTGAGCACCTGGAAACAGACTATTGGGCTGAAGGTGTAAGGGAGGTATACGACTATCCTGGGCAAGATATCTCTCCAGCCATTCACTGTGAAAGGCCAACATTCCGCCGATTTCGTGTTCGGTGGTTATGTGATGTTGACTTCCACGACTGTAGTGTTGCGAGGTGCACAACTGAGGAATCTCAACTTTAAGCTAGTTGATGATTTTATCAGTGTGATTGTAGGTAGAATCCCTAGAATCCGTTAACCATCGCCTTGAGTTCTCTAATGGTAACAGTAACACGCGGTAGTAAACATTAGGCGATACCCCCTGGGGCATTTCTCTTCTCTACTCTTGACCATCGCTAATGCGTCCATCTTAGTGTTCATAATCTATCACATCACGCGGCAAGATCTTCTGTGTTCAAGTATTTCATATTCTTCTCCGAAAGGTCAGTCTGCTTCATATCGACGGACCATCATCTGTCACCCTTCGGTGTCACCGTCCTCACCACGCATGTGAAAAGACCTGCTTATCATCAACAGGTTGTACTTAGCTGCTCTGTTGACAGTTCATTCGTCACGCGCTTGTCGCTAAGACAATGAAACGGCTAGTGATGAAGGAGCTGCAGCACGTGTTCTAAATCAGCCTCCCCATCACAGATCTTGTGACTTTTCTCAAAGTCTTCTTTGACTAGTGTTGGTGTCAACTCGGGAGAGCTCCTTCTCCAGGCAACCTTCCACCCAGCAGCGCAGAATGGTTGAGAGTATCGGGCGAGCGCTACTTCTGGGCGAGCGCGGTTGTCTGTGATTAATAAGGTTCTTGTTGTTGTTGCCTTTATTTTGGCGTACTGGATGGGATACAGAGGTCGAGAGGTAGGGAAGGCTTAGGTATGGTGGGCTCTCGATCTGTTGAATAGGCATCATCATCACCGTCCCCAGAGCGCTCTTCTGATGAGGAGATGGGCGACCAAGAGGCTACCCTGGCAGTACCTGCAACCAGTGAGGTAATACAAGTGGTGATAGGATGGTGACACCACGAAAAGGCTCTTCAGACGAGCTCTAGTGAGGCGGAGTCGACGGAGCCTTCAAGGTATCAACAGACGAAGCGACGTCGTCGTGCTGAGCATCCGGTGGTGGTTAGCAGAGTGATGATGTACCAACCTATTCCTAGAGGACTGCCGATCACTAAAGATGATGTTGGAATGGTAGGTCGGCACTGATGCTCGGCTGTTGATATTCATCAGGTTTTTATACTCAGGTGATGGACATCCGTATCGCCGCTGGTGATTTGTTAGCCCATAACCCTCTACTGAGGGCCCAACGCTTGTGGTGTTGTTGCAACTCCTCCAAGAGGTCTAGGCTCCTCTCTACTACCAAGGTGGTCAGTCACATTCCTTGCTATCACTACCCTTGGGATGTCGTTATTCCAGAAGCAACGAGCGACGTCGGGATCCACCTCTAGGGCTAAGGATAGGTATATTACAATCGCTGGACGGGACCTGGACACGGTAGCAACGGATAGGGCCTCAGAGGCGTCCTGGGATGTTGGACACGCTTCTAACGAGAGGATGTCGACATATAGATGAGTTTCAAATCGTCCCTCGTCGTAACATTCATTGGTGCTGGCTAGAGTGGTCGCTAGGAGGAGTAGGAGGATGACTAGTCCCATAGGAGACTTGCTCAGGCCCAGCTGACCTACACTGCCGATAGCGACTTGGTGTCAGCTGTAGTGCATGATGGCCGCTTCAGCCCTACGGACACTCCGACTGATCTCAACGGTCTCAAGGTCCTCATTGAAGTAGTAGGGGTAGTAGTGCATTTAGTTGGTTTTGGAAATGGAATGGTAATGATGAGATCGTAATAGCCTTGAAGGTAACGGCTTGTTGCTTTCGAATCATTTTGGTGAACTTGTGGAAAATTCACTGACGGGTTTCCCTGTTTGTCTCTCGTCAGGTGGAAATGCTGTCGCCAGTGACGCATTTCCTCAAGGTGGAGCGTAACGGTATCACTAGCAGATTCAGGACCAGAAGGTCTCAACGCCCGACTCTAGCTTTCACTGTAATTGTTATTTGTGTCTTCTATTTGCAGTGGTCATTATGATTTCAGATCATATCAGTAGAGCCGTTGGTGGGCCCAGGCAGTCCCCTTGTGGACGAGGCTACTATACAGTTGTATTCAACAGCTGGTGAGGATCGGGTTGGTAGAGGTCTTGGAATGTATGTGCGGTTGAGCTCGGGGTTTTACTCAGTGTATTATATAGACTTAGAGGCGAATCAAAGTTGGAAAATTCGGGAGAATTTTCTGCAATTTTTTTCGGAATTTGCTCATCGTTATGAATACATGTATTTGACCAGGTGTATATTCTCTTCCACTGGTTGAGGGTTTAGGTGTGAAGGACGAGACGGGTGGGGTTGGTTCGTCCCCTGCATCTTTGCGTTTCCTGCAACCCTATCGTGGACCCGAGAAGATCGACACGGCCTATCTGTGGCTAGAGTACTCCCCACTGTATGTGCTACCAGCGACGGACTCGGCTGGTGGGGGCTTGGCGGTGAGCTAATGGAGGGGGTGGTGTGGGTAGGAAGTGATGATGGTGTGGTAGGGCTATAGTCGACTGTATCGAGAGGATATGTATTTTTGCATGGACGACTTCTCGCAGTTTGTGCTGCGGATGGAAGATCCTGAACTGGAGGTGAGTCGATGGAGACATTATCGATCAACAGGGCGCGCGCTTTTGCCGAAACACATTCTCATGATGTTCAGGGAGATGATCCTCGGTTTAAGTGGGTGGAGTCAAGCTCTGAAGGCACGTCTGTCACTGGATTGAGCTGGAGTGAAATCGAATGGGGCTTTCGAAGTCTACGAGTCCGTGGGCAGGTGAGTAGGAGGATAAGAGCAATACGAGTAGGTGCTTTCTGAGGGTTGCTCCTGGTGATGTTGTTGGTATTAGTTTGCCATACGAGACCATATGATAGGCCAGCTGGCGGCATCTGATATGAAGTGGTTCAATAAGGTAGCGGCCCAGCAGCCATTGGCAAGGGGTGATGTGGAGGTAGGATGGTAGGGATGACGAAGGGGACAACTCTGTTGTGTCGCAGAGTGTGGACCTTGAGGGTGGGTGTGGATCGTCGGTGTCATCGTCGGAAGAGGATACGACTATGGTACCCTTTGGAGAACGCACGGCTGATACTGATGCTTCGGAGGAAGAGGACTCGAATGTTATTCAAATAGGAGGTGCTGGGAATTGAACCCGAATCTATTGTTGTTACTCAAACGTACACATATCTACTTAGTAGTATTATCATCATCCACGTCATATTATCATCATATACCTCGCTGTATAGCGCTATAGTATCTCAATGGGGAGTTATAGTTGCCTTTGATTTTATGCCCCCTCGGCCGCATCGTGAAGACGCGGTTGCTAATACGAATACAATATTTGGGTACATCGCGGAAGGGAAGTTGTATGGCGTGAAGCCCAAGTTTGCGATGTTCAAAGACACGTTGGTGAGGATAGTCCCCAGAGAGTTCGATCCGAAGAGCTGTGGTCGGCCGAGGCGATTGGGGAAGGGTGCTGTTCGACAGGAGAGACCGAAGGGCATCTCTCGAGAGGACTGGAAAAGAAGGTATGTTATTTGGAGTCGCTATGATGAAGGGATCGAAATGGACGAGGCGGCATGGTTCGAAGTGACGCCTGAGAACATTGCCCGATTTACAGCAGAGGAGATATATTCGCGCTATGGTGATGGCGTCGAGGTTGTTGATGGATGTGCTGGAGTAGGAGGCAACGCTATACAGCTCGCGAGAAGGGACAGGAAGGGGGGTAGAGTTGTAGCATGTGATATTGAGAAGAGCAGACTCGAGATCGCTAGGCACAACGCGGAGGTGTATGGCATCTCTAGTGATAGAATTAAGTATGTTGAAGGGGATGTCAGAGGGTGCCAACCTAGTGGTAGTGAATCAGTATTGTTTTTATCGCCTCCTTGGGGCGGTCGTAGTTGCTATACCTCCCAGGTGTATGACCCTGCAAGCTGTGAGTTGACGGATTGGGCGACCGGTCCAGCATGTCGGTTTGGTCGAGTCCTCCTCTACCTGCCTCGCCATACTGATATCAACGCTTTGGTGAAGATGTGCATGCGTGCATGTCCGATACCACTCCTTGAGATACTCGTGATTCGGTACACCAGTCCAGACCCTCACACCAAAGCCCTACTAATGGTGATAGACCGGAAGGCGTCGCCTCGACTTCCCCTCCCTCCCTTAGTGTTTTGGCGTGGCTCGGTGGGTGCTGCCCTGTTGAGGACCCTCCTTACTAGGCTGCCCTTGGTGGGGACCCTTGGGGGCATGGCGGCATCGATAGCAGGAGACGAGCTGGATGTGGTCGATGAGCTGATCAAGTGTTTGGCCCGGAGGCTAGGTGTGGGGAAGGAGGAGTTCATGGAGGCGTTAGAGCGTGGGGGGATGAGAGAACTCCGACTGTGTCGAGTCGCTGGGGCGGTAAGGCAGGCAGAGGGCAAGGAGGATGTTATTCAAAAGTTACTCAGTTCTCTAACGTGACTCCCTCCAGACTTGTTGCGTTCGAGTAGAAGCTAGGGTCTCTTGGTACCATTCCGCTTCCCTATTGCTAGCATGACCACCACTGTGTCGTCATCGTCGATCTGAGTGGTACCGGCGATAGCATTATGTTAGGGATGAGGGGTACGTGCTGCGGAACGGAGCATACGATTTGTGCATAACTCCAATCAGGTTGGGGCTGCTGATTAGCAAACGGTTATCGAGAATGTCGACCAATCACGAATGACTGCGGACATCTTGGGAGGAAACTAAACGCACGATTAAAGATCCATCAGCTTCTTGTCAGATCTTGTACGGCCTCTGTTCTATAATTATTCTCCTGGCACGACTGATACGGTTGAACGCTTAGTTGGCAGAATGCCTATTGGCAGAACCGGTATCTCAGAGTTGTCGTTAATCTGTGGTTCTAAGGTGGGAATTCAGCGATCTAACTTGTAACATCCGACTTGGTAACTGTGCTGAACACAACCACATCGCTGGGGATAATGAACGTTTGAAATTCTTACAGAAGTATACACTGGATTAGTGTTAGACGGGAATAATAGAGGCATAATGGAAGCGAGATAATCATGATAGAACGCAGCATGGAAGCGACCACCATGTCCAGTGATGCGTTATTCGAAAACAACTGCTCGGTTCATCGCTAGGCGTCTGGCTTCGCTCTCTTCATAATACGTATCAGGGTCAATACTGGGTCCATATGAGTGTGTAGATGTGTGGTCTGAACTGATATGTCAAATGAGCCCCTCACTGCTGAGAAAAGTCACTTAGATGATGATGACTGCTAGCGTCCTCAAGCATGGACTGATCGTCTGCCCCCCCAAGATGCCGTTGAATATATTTCCGATCCACGTACTCGATCGCCCCACTGAGCCTCTCGGCGAGCTCCATAGTCAACGTTGCTTGACCAGTAGGTGCACCAGACGGCGGCACCTATCCAAGCTGAGGGTATTCACGGAGGAGAGGTATTACATAAAATAGAGGAGTATCCAGAGTTGAACCAGAAATAGTAATCTCCGGCTCAGTCGTTGCGTCGTGTGATGATAGAACGCCTACTACAGGCCGCAACTCCCCCAACATAACAGCGACGCGCTCTACCAGGGACTCTCCTGCTAGTGTTGTAATGAAAACCACCTGATAGACCAAGCTAGGTCGACTGACCTCCTTCCCTCCTCCTTATTACTGATATAGTAGTGGTGACGAGGAGATCTCGGGTATCATCACCAACTCTAGCGGGTACACGTAACATCAGAACGAAGGCAATAGCTCCTCTTATTCCTGCCAGCCACAACACCTGGCAAGGACGGTCGAGGACTTGGTAATAGGATACGTACAATCTGGGAGTTCCGAGAGATAGGCTCATGTCGAGTTGAATGGTTTAAGACCCATGCTAGAGGGAACACATTACACGCTCTAGCGAACACCTGCAGGAGATCACATCAGCATGCTGTGTTGTAGGAGCCCCTTTACAATGAGTAACATAGTGAAGATTATCAGTAAGAGGTTCCAATGATACTCTCCTATAGACATGCAAGCTACTACGCCAAGGTAAAGGAAGACCTGGAAAACCAACGGATGGATAACACTAGGACTTTCGCCGTACCAAAGTCTCTGATATAAAAGCGATAGTTTCGAAGACCAGTTTTGAAGCTACTTGTGACGCTTTGGATAAGTTGTGGAAGTTATAACGACCGAGAATCTGCCAGAAGGATGGTAGTAGAAATGCTTATGGCCGCGTTACTAATCCAAAGAAGAATATCGTCATGATTCCACTCAGACCAAGGAGCTCAGCTAGGGAGAACGTGAGGTAAATAGACAAGAACATACAGGCTATCTCGTATTTAGGGTACTCGCCCAGAGACCTGGCAGCAGCACGAGAAGTCCACATGCACTCATACCCATACTGTACTTACGACTTGCGGTAGGTGCCGCTAACCAGAGCTCCACTGAGGACACCGAATATGATCGACCCCAACGTAACTATCATGGAATATAAACTACAAGAGGATCTCCGCGGCGTTAGAATGCTGAAGTTGGCAGTTGTGTGTTAAGCTCAGCGACTGGGTTCGATCAGGTGAGTCGAGTACACCACTACCAATCTCGCGGTATGGGGATGGATCATCGAGTCGCTTCCTCGATAGAAAATTGGGAGAGTAGATACTCGACAGAAATGTCAAGTGAAATAACCCCATACTACTACCTGTCAAGAAGCCCAATAGGGGACTCCGTGAAATCCCCGACGGGACTTCTTGATCGCTAAAGTAAACGTCTGAAGTAGAGGAAATCCCAGCATGAGGGGTATGAAGAGCACTCACGTTGATAGGATGCAAACAAGACGATTGCCACTGCATCGTTCAAGACGCTCTCACCGAAGACCAGAGAATGCAATGTCTTATTGGGTCGGTATTTGGACCCCCTCATGAGCGCCATCACTGCTACTGGATCGGTACCTTCAATAGGCTGTTGCTGAGGAGGGCAGGATGCTACTCACTGGAGATGAGAGCCCCAAATGTCATACAGTAACCCCGCAGGGCATCGGTATTCTTAAGGCCGACCAGCCAGGTAGTAGAGAACGTCCACAACCCTATGGACGTAACATAGGCCGATATGGTTGTGCCTATAGAGGTACTTGACTAGAATGGTGAATTGACCGATTTATGGTACCGATGAACGCGAAGACTAATATTGATGTGAGATTGCTCATGAACATATCCGTGTTGAGCGAGAAGCTGGCCTCGAATATGATAGGCGGTAAGAGTGCCTATGGAGCTACCAGGCTGACCACCCCGAGTGAATCTAGTGTTTTACGAAATAGAACAGTTCCGCACTTATCCCTAATATCTCCTTACGGTCTCCTGCTCCTAGGAGCCTGATCACCTGATTATAGGACAAACCCTGACCGGGGATTGAACCAGGGACCTACGACTCCCATGATGAACCCAATAATAACAGCTCCAGTCGACTGCGATATATGTCGAGACTTCCCCGTATTTATAAAGTACCTGAGGGCCTAGGGCTACATGTCAACGACAAGGAAGTTTATTACCCCCATACGAACGTCAGGAGCAATGCAGTTGAGAAGAGAATTGAATTTACCGACACTAAACTCTCATAGGCTGAGGTGTCGTTGTCAAGGCTGGACATGCTATGGCAAACTAAGCATCAGAGGTCGGCCCTCGTGTGATGCGATTCTAGTCTAGTGTACGTTAGTGATATGGATATATCCAAAACTGCTTCTCTTCTGGACTCCAGTAGAAGCAGAAAAAAGCAACTCTCCAGAATCTGGAGAGTTCCTTGTCGACAATGGTGACTTGCTCGTGCTACTCTCATGGACTTACAAGGTACTAAATTGGATGATACTCACATGGGAAAATTAGATTCGATTGTTTTCCTTGAGTCAATACAGAATTATACGCAAGTGGAAGCGTTCATTAGTCGTATGTCCCGATGCTACTACTGTGACGCCGCTGAGGCCCAAACCTTTGAGAGATTGTACAGTGCTCAAAAATTAGTCTGGAATATGTAGTTCGAAGTCTGTTTTCTGTGAAATTCAAATCTGGGTCAAATAGGTTTTCTCTGTTGACTGGATAGAGTTGATAAATGTTTCACCTACGGGTCGTACAATCTACCATGTCAAACGTGTGTACATTAGTTTCCACTCGAAAAACATCTGGTTTAGCAACACGTTGTTAGATTCGATTATCTGTAACCGTTTCGTGCCTAAGCCTCAATATTTGGGCGAGCGAGGATTTTTATGGCGCCGAATTGTCTACGGGAGAGGTCACAATTATCTTCGTCTTCTATGAACCCGATGCATGCAGTTAAGGAAGATATACACATAGTCGACTACGTGTGTCGGGGACGATGCGGAAATTTTCGGGAAATTTTGGGAAATTTTGGGAAATTATTGTTGGTTTCTGAACACTTGTACCCGAATTCGTATATGAACTGCTATACTTAGCGAGGAGTCTCCTTACTCCAGGTGAAGAAAGCGGACATAAAATCCTCCAACATTGACTGCATAGAGTCTACTCGGTAGATAAGGCTGGTCTTTCTCAAAATGTTCAATTCAGTCACGGCTTGTGATGACCCTAGGATTGACCGGCATCGCTGCGTGAGGTGGAGTAGCGGATCCTACTGTATGTGAGTAGTGAAATACGTCCATATACGAATTCAGCAGCGGGGCCTAGGCTGAGATATTAAGGCTCCCAGCCGCGGGCTCGAGTGTCCTCACAATTGGGGTTAAATGTCCACACACGCGGAAAGATGTTATTTATCGAGTCAACTAGCGGGCCCGGTTTTAGCTCTCATACCTTCGGCGACTCTATCATGTTCACCCTATATTAAGATAGTCTGTGACTGATCCCGACTCGTAGGGATCGAGGATAGTGAAATCACACAACTAGAGGTGACACAACAATACACAATAACACAGAATAATATGCGATAATATCATCTAGCTTGCTAGGCTAGTAGGTTTCAAGCACCAACAGCTTCAACAGAATCATCAGTGACTCGATGAAGTCATCAAATATCGATGCTGCTGGACGGCCGTACGGCATCCCGACGGCTCGATATTACCCCCAACATAATGGTGAAACATCTATGTTGGTAACCCGACCAGTCGGTAGATATTACCCGTGTCACGTCGTGACTCTCATGAGTTAAATGTGGGTTTCAACTCACGTTTCTCCCTACCTCGGCTGCCAGGCATGAGGAAATGGCTCACTGTTGCTCCACCCTGTCGACTACGTCCTAGGAGATAGAGCCAAGCACAAGTATTGTGATGACTGTCTCCCTCAGCGATCAGCGCGATCGATATGCTATAAGCTTAATTTATAGCCTCCTTTGTTGCTTATTGATCTTCACTACTAAGGTTCAGTGAAACTACGACTACCCCTACTACTACTCTCGTTGTTACAGACCATGCTTCCCCTCAAGAACTGCTACATCGTCTGTACTGGCCCCAATGGCGTCAAGGAGACGGAGTCCAACGGAGACACTGCTGCTGGTGAACGAACCTATGCTAGCTCCGACTACAACCACGGCTACTACAACCACTCCCATTGGCAGTATGGTAGCCCCTATCATAAACAAAACAAGTGGCGTTCGTGGAGGAACTGGTACCCAAGGAGAAGGTCCCACGACTACTATGGATGGACTAACTCTCAAAAAAAATGGAATTGGTGGTACAACGACTACAACAACGGTAAGGAGACCAATACTACAACGTCGGTGGAGAGTAGCCCTTGTCTGACATCCCCAAGAACTTCGTCCGTCCAAGCATCGCCTACTGAGGCCAACCCTACTACTACCACCGCCACCGAGCTCCACGAGGAGGGAGTCCTGACGTTCGATGATGACGTACCATGGTGGAAAAGAGCTGGTCGACCAGGTCCCTCGCCTGCTAAGGAGGCGAAGCTGAGACCGAACATCAACAAGAAAACTGGTGGAGCTCCGACGAGTTTTCCTACTGCTACAAGGGAGTACACCGGTACTACTACTTCTAGCACGAGCGCTGCAACTGGTACACGTCTGTGTGCTTTGCCCAGTCGACCTACTGAGCCGATCTCAGTTCCTGCTAGGGATACTCACCCGGCCTCTTCCGGTGATGAGATGCCCAGTAATGGTACCCTAAAGAGAACCAATAAGCGGTGTTCTCTCCCTAATGTTGACGATGCCAGTCATCTCAACAAAAAGGTACGGGCTACGGCCACAAGCAGAGGCCACAGTGTGCAACAACTGCCCTCCAATGATGTCGGAGGTGAGCAAAGTTCAGTGAATAAGGCCAGAGAACGGCTTGCTGAGCCGATTGATCTTGGTAGTGCCAATGATGGCAACAGTGATGATGCTGATAATGGTGATTGGAGTGCTAGTAAGTCGCTCGTCAGAGAACGACGAAGGGCCAAGAATCTGCCGAAGAGGCAGAGACCTGATAGCTTAGCAAGAGGCGACGATGAAGAGAGCGCACGCCCACGGGCGAAGCGAAGCACTTGTGCAGCCACCCCAATAAGTGCGACTTCTCTACCTCGACTACCCAAAAGAGGTCGGATTCTACATTATGTTGTTGATCAAGCTGTTCAGACTGATTGATTTACTTGATCTCCTGTGTCTCTGTTCGCTCGCCGAGCAATCTGGCTTGAGTTAAAGAGTCTCAATTTGGGCAAGACAATGACCGCTAAGCCGAGCGGATGGGACTGAGAAGCTGTTTAATACTCTTCTTCGAAGATTGCAAATCAATAGGGCGATAAATCCTCCTTCGTTCGTCAAGTTTGTCAGACTAAGTACATCGTGACTTGAGCACGACTCACTCCTAGCCAATGTACCGAGCCCAGGGAGAATGACCGGTGTGTTTCGCGCACCGCCAGTGAGGTACTGGCCATACTAAATGTGGTAAGAGCTGCTGAGGTCCCGTACGTCACATTCTTACCTCACTTGTTCGATTCAGAGAGAACCCAGAATTGTGTGACTGTTCATTTGAAGTGTATTGCAGTTTTGAATCCCCATTACAAATGTCCACTCAAAATGAAGCAGCAGTTGCGCCCGCCGCCGGTGCAGAGGATAACTTGAATGCGGCTGAACAGCACAATCCAGTTAATATTATCGTCGACCGAGCACTAGAGGGTTCATCAATGGCTCAAAAGTTCGGCCCCGCTATTAAAACTTCCCTGGAAAGGAATGGTTTTGCGACTCTCGGTCTGATGGGCTCGATGAATGCAGAGGGTTGTAAATTAATAACTGACGAAGTGACAGCAGACTCTAAGAATCTTGTGCGTGACACTGCTTTGGTCCTGAGCTCATTAACTTCTATGATTAGAGAGGCCAAGCAGGAGCTGGAGTTCCTCTATCAAACGGAACTCAACGAGGAGAAAGTGAGAACCCGTAAGGCGATTGTGAATTTGCCCAAGGTCATTCGAGAAGCCCAGGATTCCTCATATACCTTATCCATCGGGCCAAACTTGATTGGGTCCGTGGCATGTGTGAAGAAGGTGATAGATCAACCTTTGGCCTACGTTGAGTTGAATGAGTTCCTATTAGCGAGTCATGCTTATGATGCCGACTTGGAAACGATAACTACAGTGACTGGTGAAGTAGTACAACGCAGGAAGTCAGATGGGAAAAAGCGGCCCATCCACAACGTGGGGGAATGGAACCAATGCTTCCTACGCTACATGATAGCCCTACAGTTATCGGCAACTGGCCGTAAAAGTATTGATTTGGGTTCGCTGCTATCGTATATGTCCCAAGTCTCTCTCTTATTTACGTGCCATCCAATGTCGGTGGTATTCGATGCAGAGGCGAGCTATAGAAGGAGCGGCGCCATGGCGGTTGCAGCAGGAACGGTTTCGATGTCGCAGTTGTTTGGCTCGGAGGCTTATGTTCGTCCCAGATTGGACATGGAAATTAACATTGCTTACAATCAACGCCAACAGAAGAATCGACCTTGGCAGTCTCAAACCGCGAAAGGCCTCGGAAAAGGAAAAGGCGGTAAAGGCAAGGGCGTAGGTCTTACTTCTGCCAAAGGTAAAGGCAAAGGAAAGGGCAAGTCACCCCTTCACCGAAGCGAGCCCTATCGCACTAACGACAGACTAGATTCTGGCACAAAGACTGTCGGACCTAGTAATATCTCTCAGTGATTTTCTGCTACTCTCTAGCTGTTTCAAACCCTACATTGTGTTGAGAGTCCTCCGAAGGACTACCAAGGTTCTCCTACTATAAATTTTATCTAGTATTTAATCCCCCTTTCACCCATGGCTCGTAATCATAATCATCACCATAGCAGGTCCAGTATGGCCAAAACCATACGCAATGCCAAGCGTCATATTCGACGAGAAACTACCTTAACTAACAGAGAGATCCTCGATGAACTAATTCCGCATGATGGCTCTGAGGAAGATTACCGTAGACAGCAACTGCAATACTATGCTACTCTCGCTCGCAATACTGAGCTGGGCAACGAAGAAGATGTAACGAGCAGTCTTACTGATGGTTCTTCATCTCCAGATCTGTGCTCCTGGTTTGAGATCCTGAAAAGCGATGGTCAGGACTTGCTCATGCTCGCGCCTCTGCGGCAATTATTGACGACTGCTCTGAAAGAATTGCAGCGTGATGCCTCTCTATGGGAGAGTTTCATCGCTTGGATAGAGTTACCACGAGATAGTCAAGGCCTGCAAGCGGAGTTCCTGGATAAAATGAGGGATTCCATCCAGTCGGCAGGCAATAGGCTGAGAAATAGCTGGGCAACTCTTCTCGATAGCAGTACAGAGCCAGCACCGTCTTCTCCTCTCTGCGTTGATTTACTACACAGTCTAATGACTTCTACTACTAGACCGACGGAGAAGGAAGATCTTCTGATTTGCGATGAGATCTCTCGAGGTTGTAATATTGGTATAAGGAAGCCCATAAAGGCTTCCGGTCTCTGGCCCTCTGATAAAGGTCCCAAATATACCGGTTATGAGCTTGCTTTGTGGGCCGCTGACTCATGGAAGAATTACAAGTCCTGTGAAGAAGCCATTGATAGAGTCCAGCAAAGTCTGGATAAGGAGGTCTCCCTCGGACATATGACAACTCTTCCAGAAATAGCTGAAGATTCCGTTTGCACCAAGATTGCCTGTGTTGTGAAACCATCTGGTAAGTTACGCTTGATCGATGATCTACGTCGCTCAGGTGTTAACGAACAAGTTCGTTGTGAAGAGACTATCTGTCTTCCAGGACTACGTTCTGCGGCATATTTGGTACAGCATTTGAGCGAGACCACTAGTCCGAAGGACCCTTTGGTATGGATTGAAGCAGATATCACGTCTGCCTTTAGACATTTGCCAGTACATATACTTGATCGGAAGTTTCTCGTTAACCATGTTGGCTCTCTCTTCTACCAACATATCCGATTACCATTCGGTCTGCGCAGTTCTCCGCTTCTGTGGTGTCGGCTATTTGGTAGCGTACATCGTCTTGTCAAGAAGCTGATATGTGAAACCCCTATGGATGGCTCGGGTATGATTTATGTAGACGATCTCGGATGGATCGTACCCAAAAGTAAAGCATCTGAGATAACGGCTAAGATCCTTCTTATCTATTCAGCCCTTGGTCTGGACATAGCTTTTGATAAGCTTCGTGTATCATGCACACCTCATAATCTGGGGTTCGAGTGGGATCTAAAGTCTCGCTCAGTGCGTGTACCTGAGGAGAAACGCCTCGCTCTCTTAAAACAGTTGAACTCTTTCGTCTCTGCCCCCGGTAGACGGGTAGCGGTACCTCAGGTGGAGCAGTTAACGGGAAGGCTCACCTGGCTGATGCAAATTACTCCGCGACTGAAAGCGGCCATGGCCCCCTTTTACGCCTTACAAGCAGCGGCGAGGAAGCATGCACTCCGATATGTTACTCTGGGGGACCAGATCTGTCACAGCGCTCAGCTGTATCTGCGTGTACTTTCATCTCCACGTCTGTCGGGGACGACTGCCTCTCAGTTGCTCGGCTGGGTAGCCAAGAAGGATGATCTTTGCTCAGTCGTCGTAACAGACGCGTCACTATCAGGTATTGGTGGGGTAGTCTTCGACTTGGATTCGTCCACGACGATCCCCAGGGCCTTGAATGTTGAATGGTTCTGTACGAAGTATTCTTCGTCACCAGAGTTGTCACAATTCACCACTACAAACCCACCAAGCAGTGCTGATATATGTTCCCTAGAGCTGATAGCTGCTGGTGTGGCCACAACAAAGGCGCTTGAAAGGAATCCAGAGCTGGTTCTCGTCCTTTCTGATAATACGCCCACTGTACATGCCCTACGACGGAACTCTGCGAGAGCTCAGTCTATGAGGTTGATTTTGAGAGCCTTCAACACGCTTTGGCCAATAGGTGGTTTTGTGGTCACAGCATATCATATCCGTGGAGACAATAACAGCCTGGCTGATTTCTTGTCCAGGAATGACAGGCAGACTATTCTTTGCTCCGTACGAAGTCTGGGTATAGAATTCGACGCGGTTCCTATACTGCGCACCTTCCAAACGGCTCTAATCTGAGCTTCTGTTATAACTCTGACTATGGGTGCATTGCGTTCGGGTCTGGGGGACATTTCAAGAAGAGCATTCCTTGGCACCCTTTCAAATGTCATCCCGCAGGGAAAACTTCCCCCGCAAGCACGGCTTTCTATCTCTCGGACTCGGGATCTTCGCCACCAAGTCGTTACGCGGCAATACGTGAGAAGATCGTGCCCGTCTCCTCCAACTCCAAGGCATAGCTCTCAACCCACAACTCGTCTTTCTACGGGCCAAGTAACGAGATGTTTGATGCCGGTAGCGAACAGGAACCCCTTCTCAGCCTCATCTCTATCTTCGCCAAGGCCATATTGTCGGCTATTACCTTCGGTGGCAGTACAGGATATCCTATTACACTTGGAAAGCTCACGTGCCCAGTCCACTAACAGGGACCGCAATTCTGTCATTCGCCGATACTGTACTTTCTGCTTGAATCAAGGCCTTACTCCCTTTCCAGCCAGCGTAGACGCGTTGGTGGAATATATTGTCAGTTTAACCAAGTGTGCTCTGATGTATGAAACTATCTATAAGTATGTGAATACTATTAGAATCGAGTCGCGTCTATTTGAGGTTGCTCCCCTCTCGGTGGCAGACGAAGAATATGTTAGGTTGGCCCTCCAGTCTGCCAAACGAATACTCCGAAACCGTAAGCAGAAGCGCACGGTGACTTTGACTCTGGACCAGATCAAGCGTGTTGTCTGTCTGACTCCACCATCAGGGAGAGCAATCAGTGAAGTAGCTTTCTTAACGGGGATATTTTGCTTACTCCGCCTCAAAGAAGTAGCATCTCTCACCCCGGCTGATGTCACGACGAGTTTGTGCGGATCCTACCTCAAAGTATACATAAGGTGCTCTAAGACAGATCAGAGTGGCAGTGGCCAGACCGTCATTTTGGGGTGCAGTCATGGCAAACCTTGTGGCTCACCTTGTGGAGACAGAATTTGCCCCATGCACCGGCTCATGGAAGTGCTGAGCAATGGCCCTGAGATAGCAGCAAAGCCGACTCTTTTCGGCCTGTCCTATAACCAGTTGTCCAAGGACATCAATGCTCTGGTTGAAACCGTTTTCAGGGATACTGACCCGGAGCTGGAGGTTGGACGCAAAACATCACATAGCATGAGGAGAACCGGCGTCTGCCTCCTGGCTGATGCGAAGGTGCCCCTCCATGAAATTGCTGAGTATGGTAGATGGAAGGATGCTACTACGGTCGAGAATGTTTATCTTCGCGATCGATCTCACAGGGCAAGCAGGGAAAAGCATTACTCTGGAAAGATGCTTGCTTGCCTGGACAGATCTGATATCTTGGTACCGGCGTCAGCAGGAGGTGAGCAAGCATCAGCATCTTCATCATCGGCCGTAGAAGTCGACTTCGTTTGGGATGAGAAACCCATTTCAAATTGACTCTAATCTATGTTTTAATTTGACTAAGTTCCATGATCTTGTTGTGCAATTAATCGATTGATCATCGAGTGAATATACAGGATGGAGTAGTAGTGGGACAGATGGGAGGTAGAGTGTAGGTCTAATCCTTGGCTGTCATATTATGGCATGACAGTCATGGTTTAGGGAGCAGTGTGTGATGATTCCACGCTGCCCTCTTGATTTACAAATAGACCAGCACTCTAGCAGATCGAGGATGTTCACAGCAGGTGGCTATGAGCTAACCCATCCAGATCTCGGTTAGAGCCTATGCTCTCACCAGTCACGGATCTGGAGTTAGCGCTCGCCCGGGTTCCAGTTTAACGGTTATAACCTGCCCGGGCTACGGTTTCATAGAAACCACAAGTTTTATAGCCATTCCTGCCCGTGTCATCCTCGTCTGCCTGTCCCACTCCTCTGTGCATGGGATTTCATGTGACTGATCCCGACTCGTAGGGATCGAGGATAGTGAAATCACACAACTAGAGGTGACACAACAATACACAATAACACAGAATAATATGCGATAATATCATCTAGCTTGCTAGGCTAGTAGGTTTCAAGCACCAACAGCTTCAACAGAATCATCAGTGACTCGATGAAGTCATCAAACCCTCCCTCCCCTTGCCCAGAGGTAGAGTGTAGGTCTAATCCTTGGCTGTCATATTATGGCATGACAGTCATGGTTTAGGGAGCAGTGTGTGATGATTCCACGCTGCCCTCTTGATTTACAAATAGACCAGCACTCTAGCAGATCGAGGATGTTCACAGCAGGTGGCTATGAGCTAACCCATCCAGATCTCGGTTAGAGCCTATGCTCTCACCAGTCACGGATCTGGAGTTAGCGCTCGCCCGGGTTCCAGTTTAACGGTTATAACCTGCCCGGGCTACGGTTTCATAGAAACCACAAGTTTTATAGCCATTCCTGCCCGTGTCATCCTCGTCTGCCTGTCCCACTCCTCTGTGCATGGGATTTCATATGAATGATAAAGACTAGGGTTCAATTCCCAGTGGTGACATTTTTGAAAATGTCGGGCTTTCCCACTAGCCAACTCAGTGCAGCTGGAGTACAGACCTTCCGAACGTACTGTTTATACGTATATTATTGCTAACTTAATGCAGCAGTCTCGGCGAGTGTTGGTGGGGTCTTGGAGATCTGCTCAGTTGAGTGAATGGCTAGATTCCTGCGTAAATTCATACACCATGAGGCCCGGACAGGATCGACCTTACAGTCCTTCCTACAAGCCCAGCAACCTGATTTGGATACCATCTCTTTGCTACTTCGTCATTTGACTACGGTCCATCTAGGGGATAAGAAGACACCTCATCGCATCATGGATGTTGCTTGGTATCTCCAAGATAGAGGGGGTAGGAGGCCGAGTCAAGCAGGCGTATCTTAGGTTCCTGCATGGTAGATACACTATTAGCCCGACAGCAGGTCGGACATGAATCGGTCACCCCCTCACCGACGGCATTAGCTCATGTGGCTTTGGCTATGGCGGCTGTGGTTAATTACGACATACCCAAAAGGGACATGCAGAGCATTCGAGCTGTGGTGGTTGCATGTGCCACTCGAGGGCTCGCTCTCTCAGCTTCGAGAAAGGACCTCCCTCTAATTTCGACTGCCATGTAATACACTATTACTATTAATGCTCTCGATCCCTGTCCACAGCCGGCTCGACAGGTACCGGACCGAGGTAAGGGATGTAGAGTTATGGAGGAAAGTGATCACCCGAGCAGTTGAGCTCCTAGGGGAGCAACGGCCTTCCGACCGACTGGACCCTCGAGGCCTTGTTGGGGTGGTCTTCGGTCTGTCCAAAGTCAGGCTAGTGTGGGCGAATATGCACATAGTCAACTACATATGTTGGTGACCATATGAGATTTCTGAGGGAATTTTGGTAAATTCTTGTTGGTTTCTGTACACTTCTACCTGAACTCCTACAATTAGTGAGGAAATTGCCGAGGAAAGCGAACATATATTCCTCCACCAGTGGTTAGGAGCGCTCCCCTCAGATGGCCATAAACGCCCCTCTATTGGAAAGGCATCTACCTCGTGCTGATGAGTTATCATCACTACAGGCGAGAGCACAATTGCTGTATGTCCGCTGTAGGATGCAGAGAAAAGCCGGATGCGCGGATCTGGACCCGGACATAGAGGCTCTGGCGAGCAGGTAGTAGAGGCACTACTATGGTTTGATGAACCTCTCTACAGCTTGGCTCGGGAGGCTGCTGACCGCGAGTCCTTCCTCCTTGCTCTCCATGCGATATCATTGGTGCCCTACCGTCATGAAGGTCTCCTGTCTAGAGGGGTAGAGGGAGAGGACTGTGAAGGTGATCGAGGCTGGACCGCTGGGTCCTATGTGAGAGTCCATTCTGATCATATTGTTATTGTGAGTTGCTGAAATCAGTTACGTTACATTGCAGATTGTTTTCGTTTGTCGTGTCCTGTCACCAGCACGACCTCGATAGTCTCCAACGCCATCACCTACGAGAGCTTCTTCCTATACGGCTTACGATTCATGGGCTGGGATTTGAGTCGGGCCCGGGTCCCTAATCTGGGAGAGGCAATCTCCACGGTAAACTCGAGAGTTCTTCCTGCCGAGTCTGCGGCCATGCTTTTGGCCGCCTTTCAAATGAGCTACTGGTCGTCATCGAAACGACTAAGGAACTTGGCGAACATATCGTTGGAGTCTTTGAGAAAGTTACAGCATTGTACCCAATTCGAAGTGAACGAGACAGCCCCGCATGCCCGGTATCAGGTTGAGGTAAGGACCTATTTCGCGGCTAGCTGGGGCCGGTGGAAGATCTTGTCAGGTTGATGAGGTCCTTCGTGCGGTATCTTCTAGCGATTTTCGAGTTCTTCGGGAAGTTGAAGTATATCCTTATTCCCTCGATTTACTCCTCATCACCCCTCAGTTTTTACGCACCATGCAAGCCGATATTTCTGTTAATTTATGATAATGCCTGTTGCCTCGTGTTCGAGTTGGGCTCCTCCACAAGCCTAGTCAAGTATATGGGAGGAGCCATTATACTCGAGAGCGATAGACTCAGTCTACGCCGGTCCATCCGGCTTAGGTATCGATGTCATGGATCCGCTAAGAAATACCGTCTTCATCGGGAGTTCATGGTTCTAGAAGGAGGACTGCAGATGACTGCTCATCGGCTTTCTCTCAAACTCCTCCCCTCCCTCGGGGCAGACTCCCTTTACTCCTCCAAAAGCGTACATAGACCCGATCGGCCGTTGTAGTAGTCTGGAGAGTCGCCACATGTCTCGACCAATTCCATCACTCGCGAGAATACTTCCTCATTTTCGCTTTTCTCAACGGACGCCTTTTCAAGAGACTTGAGTGCTAAACATATAAATCGGTCTCGAGAAAATAGGAAGTTTTCATCTTCTCATGAAATCCGAAGTTTCCATCAGAAACTCAAGTAAACGCAACAAACGTGTATTAGAAATGGTAATAGTGTAACGTTATAGTATTCATCACCAATCTTGACCACCAATGGGCTCATCACTCGGTCGGCTGGTCTGGCGTCGAGCCTGCTCCAATTTAGGGCAGTCCTTGATACGATGCCCGAGTCCTCCACAATAGGCACATCCACGAACGCCATTCACAACCTGAGACATGTCTCCTACAAGGGTTACTCACAAGCGTCTTACCTCAGCAGTGTCCTCTCCACCAACTGCCTCCAAGTGCTCGAGGAAGGGAGGTACTCGCTGACCGGCCTCCTCTAGGATGGCCTTCAAATCTAATAGTACCTAAACCATCAGCACTATGACGAGTGGGTCTAGAAGGAGTAGTAATGGTAGCAGTATGAAGAGGAGTTCTTATCACTAGTACCGTTTCATCGACGCTCTTATTAATAAAGGTTGTCGCGACTCCAGTACGCCCACATCGACCAGTCCTTCCTATCCTATGGACATAGTTCTCTATCTCCTTGGGCATATCATAGTTGATGACATGTTGGATAGCAGGGAAGTCGAGACCCTGATAATAGACCCGTCAGCCATGGAGACAGTTGACTGTCTTCACCTTAGATGCAACATCAGTGCCGATTAAAACATCCTTCGCTCCGCTCTTGAATAGACGTGTACTCTTGTGCCGTTCACTCTGTTCCAGCCCACCATGTATTGCGCAAGCACCGACACCCTTCAGAAGGAGGTATCTGGTAAAGGCGTATGGTAGTATGGTCGTCAATATTGGAGAGAAAAAATGACGCCCCCAGGGATCGAACCCGAGACCTACTCTAAGACTTCATCACAACTCGCCTTATCGCTGCAGAATACCATAACAGGTGGCGCCGTCTTCTGGAGGCATTGGAGAAGATACGTCAGCTTACTCTCGGCTTTCACGTATTCAACCTAACCGCCCATAACACCATTAATTTTGTGGCGCGCGAAATTTCCAAGTACCTCCTGAACAACATCCAAATTGGCTGCTCCTGCCCGTCCAACGTTGATGGTCACCGGATTGACCAACGCCGACGTAGCGAACTCTTGAATTTTTCGAGGCATCGTCGCAGAGAAGAGTAACGTCTGCCTCTGGTGCCCAAAGTGGTCCAAAGTGTTACGCACCTACACCTTAGAAATATACCACCCCTTAACTGCTAAGCTGACCTCATCCTCGAATCCAAGATCGACCATTCTGTCGGCCTCATCCAGGCAGATGTACACACACTGGGCTAGGGTAAACCTAAAGTGGAGGGAAGGTTAGTATACTCCTTGGATACGTCAGCTCTATAATTCCATACCACACCTTCTTCACATCACCACCACTGTGAGCGATTCCAATACTACATCTTCTCATTGAGCATATGGTTCAGCCGCCCTGGTGTCGCTGTAACAATATGCACGCCCCTTCTAACGTTAGCAGCCTGCCGCCCTAAAGATTCCCCTCCAATGCACAACTGACATCGTAGTCGCGGCAACCTATGGCGAGACCGACTCGATGGTAGGCCGGTCAAGTAGGATGCATAATATCTGAAAAACCCGGTGGCCGTATCCCCCAAGATTCCCCCATCACTACGTACTCGACCACCTCGTGAGTCTGTTGTGCTAGTTCCCTACTAGGCGCGATAAGTAGACAGAAAGGTCCCTCACTGTCCGTCACTGGAGCTCTCATCTCCATTTCCATCGCTCTAAAACAACCCCATCCTGCGAGGTCAATACCACTCCTTGTTGAACTCACCTCAGAATAGCAGGTATGGCAAACACCAGCGTTTTACCACTACCAGTGAAGGCGATACCAATGAGGTCTCTTCCTAATAGAGCCTCAGGTAAGCCTTGCATCTGGATCTGGGTCGGCCTCGATATACCCTTACTCTTTAGAGCCTGGAATACGTACCACAGACACGCTACTAAGCCCATCGTGTCGAGGTGAGGTCCCCCGTACTACCTCCAATATGCCCTGGGGGAAGAGCATTTCCTTGAACGACTTTATAGGCGGGCAAACATCATCTCCATTCACCTCGATGAAGAACCTGCAAGGCCGGTAATTTCGTGGCGCGTGACGGAATTTGGTCCCAACTACTTGTCTCGAATGGCCTGTGCCTCCTCCTCCGTCATTTGCCTATATTTTCTCGGTAAAGTCCAGCCAGCTATGTTGGGCATGCTCATATCGTAAGTGATCCCTCTGAGTGCTAGTAGTAATAAAAACGAGTTCATCGCAGTCGTTACTTGGCACGCTCCACCACACTAGTCAGCGGCTTAGACATACTGTCTTCTATATCCTTCAGAATGTTACGCTCACGCTCCTCCTTGGCTCTCTGAGAGGAAGCAGCGGTCGTAGTAGTAGTATGCAAGGCGTTGGTAGTTACTACCAACACGCAATAGATAATAAAGATCGGCCCGGTTGTAAAGGAGGTAGTATTCCCATGTAGGTGTATGTCAATTGCTACTACCAAGTCCAACCACCGTTATGTCCCCGGCGTGCCAATTGTCAATGATTAGTCTCAGTTTTGTATGATCATTGAAGTCGTCCCCTCTGCTACCCTTTCCCTCCCTACTACCTTCTCCTCCTCAGCTTTAGCCTCCTCTGGCATATCATCATGAGCCTTCTTCATCTTCATTGCCTCGAACAGTAGCGATCGGGACTGTTGTGCCGACAGCGAAGGTCCACCAGTCGGGAGGACGACGACGGGCGCCTCTTCCTCCTCCTCTTCTACTGGAGACTCGCTGGGAGTCGACGATGCTGATGCCTAAGGCGACCCACGATGATGACCATCCTCACGTAAAGTTGTGGTATGACCTCATAGCCACTCTTACTAGGCAGGGGCCTGTGGCTGCTCCCCTTCTTCCTAAATTTACGTGGTATATACAACTCCTCGTCCTCGTCCTCTTCCGCCTCCTTCAAGAAGGCCTCCATAGCGTCTGAAGTCGTTGTAGTGGTGGTGGGCAGCATCTCGACTCAAAAGGAAACGTTCTCTACCACGACCTCATCTATACCTTCAACTGTAGCCCACTTTTTCACAACAACTTCCAACCGGTTAAGACTCATTACATCTACAAAATTCGCAAAATGCTCGACAGACTTCTCCGGAGTTTCAACAGCGCTTTCATACGAAATCCGATCCTGGGGGGAGTGGTCTCAGGAGAGGTCAACGGAACACTCTGAAAAATCATAACCGTTGAGGAAATGCAAGATTTGTCAAGAGAGCAAGTGACATTATATTTCAGCGTAGAGCTGTAAAGCTAGTAAAAGGTACTCCTCAAGTTGACACATTATATTTTGAGAGCTCCTATCTACCGCTATGTGGAGCACCTTCGCGATCGTCTTTACTATTGGTCTGCTGGCCGGCTCAGCCAACTCTATCGTTGAGAAGTTACAGTTCCAAACTGGTGCTTTCGGCATTGATGGTATTTATCACCTTTTCGAGAAGCCCTGGTTCATGAGTCTGATCATGTTCGTTGCCATGTTGTTGGCGTTACCTGTTTACTACCTACTCGTGTGGAGGAGGTATATAAAAGTGGATAAGGTCAACAAACATATATTTTTTGTTGTTGCCATACCATCCCTTTTCGACCTCTTGGGGTCCTCCTTCCAGGCCATCGGTCTCGTCTACACCCCCGTGTCGGTTTTCCAGATGCTCAAGGGAAGCATCCTCATCTTCTCGGCGGCTCTATCGGTCCTTTTCCTCCACAGAAAGATGTACCGTCACAACTGGGCCGGTGTTATCATATGTGTTATCGCTTTGATTTTCGTGGGCATGTCTAGTGTTGCCTCTCGAGAGAACCAAACCCAAGTAGTTAGTCTCGGCAAGCTCCTTCTGGGTATCTGTTTCATCGTCGGTGGCCAAATCGTATGCGCCTCTCAATACGTCATTGAGGAGTTCCTCTTGAAACCTCCTCACGATGTGTCTCCTGTCGCCTTAGTCGGTCTAGAAGGCTTCTGGGGTACCATTTTGATGGTGGCCGTTGCCTTGCCAATCGTTGGCTCCCTTCATGGTGGTGATGTTGGTGGTGTTATCGAGAATACTAGAGACTCCTTCGTCATGCTCTACAACGATCCGGCTATAATGTGGCTCACTGTGTCGTTCGTCGTCTCCGTATTCGTATTCAATCTATGTGGCGTTATGGTTACTGCTACCGCTTCAGCGGTTCATCATACCTTCCTCGACGCTACGAGGACCATCCTCATCTGGATCGTCTCTGTGCTGATGTAAGTCCTCATCTCGTTGTTGGAGTTCTCATCATCTGTCTTAGGTTCTACGTAGCACCAGGCAAGGGCCTCGGTGAGCCTCTCACGTCGTGGTCTCTACTCCAACTGATCGGTTTTGTTATGCTCATCTATGGCGAGCTGCTCTATGATGAAATCGTCAAGTTACCTTTCGGTCTTCACGAAAAGGAACCTGTAAGTGCATTTAGGTCGTTCAAGGGCGACTTCATCTTTCTGGTAGGTTTCGGAACTACTAGCTCCTCTGAACGCACCTCTTATGGTGTCTCCAGCCGAACGAAAGCCGGCCCCTGGAATCCCTTCCAACAGGGAGAGACTACCATTATCGCGGAGCGATGCTGATAAGATTCAGTGAGTGTTGTCATAGTGTTTAGTATTCCAACGTAGCCGCCAAGGTTGAGAAGGCGGTAAAATTGATAAGAGTGCTACTGCTGGCCTAAGCTGTCGGCAGTAGCGACTGAGCCTGTCCCTGTTCGCTGTTGTGTATGTTTTTAATTCTGAGCTTGCTGTCGTCGTTACTATTATGTTGATGATGACTGCAGTGGTGGTTGTCTCTGACCTACTACTACTTAGTCATCATCTCCCGTGCCTGATCTAATTTACTATCTGTGAACCTCCTTTACCGTAAAGGAGTCTTCTTTGTACAGATCGCGGAGTGTGACTTTATGTCGTTGTGTTGGTAAGCGAACAACTCAAGTGTCTTCTGATAATGTGTGCTTGTCGAGGGGCAGAATCTCGGTACGCTTAAAGCCCGAGTAGTGGCTTCAATTCGGTATTCGCTGGTGCATTGCATCTTAGTTCATGAGATCATGCCTAGCTCTATCGACTTAGCCAACGTCTGTATACAAGGAGATGTAATGAGTACTTCTTCATTGGCTTTCACTCACTTGCTATGGGAAACATTTCATAATGACAATGAATATAACCATTCTACTTCTCTAAGGTTGATAAAATCCAGCGACGAAACAAGGCGGTCACTATGGAGTTTTCGGTATGGTAGAATTCGCCTTGTTCATGATGTATTCCCTTCCTACTCCGAACGGTGAACG